GTAGTGATCCCGGGGATGTGAGATTGACTTCAGGCAGTCAAGTCGTGCTTATTAGTACGTACTTAATAATCTCACCCATGTGCTTCTCGTCTCCCTGGCATCAAACGGAATGAGAAGCTTACGGTTGTATCAAAACAGTCATCAATAAATAGATTACGTATGCCGGCAGAGCCTTAGGAGCCTCGGTCGATAATTCTAACATTATCCAGTAACGCTGTTACCCAGCCTCGGGGGGTTGGGTTGTTTAGCTCGAGCCATCGGGCAACGTCAACGGGACAGGTTATATGACAAAATAGTTTGATAGGGTAACCGAGAAGTAGTTGAATGCAGCGCTAGATGAGTGCCCTGTCTAGCGGTGTGAAGAGCCTTCGGAATATAAGTGGAAGCTTTCGCAACCCCTCACGATCAAGTCTCCGCATCTAAGACATATGTCGTATTGCGGAAACCCTGACCTCTGCAGACCTGCAGCGTCCAAACCACCCATTTAAGAGATTCTCTCACAGTCGGGGGTAGGGACCGTAGCCATCAGCCTACCCAAACGGAGCCCACAACCCACGCTGCATAACCCACAGTCTTCCCATGTCCAGAGATTCCTCCCTGCAATTCAAGATGCTAGCGTCCATACAAAATCGTTTGTCCCGCCACGATCCACCAAGCTCACAATGATTCATCCCTTGGGGAAAGGGAGGCGCCTAGCACGGCGCCTATCCAACACTTTTCATGTGGGAGCTGTCGCATTATTTGCCCGTCTCTCCGGCCCTAGCATGGCCTCTGTCACTGTTGATCTGGCTGATGTGTCCATCACCGAATTCTGGCTCCCCCACTGAGTCACCAGTCCCATCGCCACCTACCCAAATCTGACACCCACAGGAGTCCTAGATTAGTGCATGCATTGTCGATATTGGAATGGATACATACATAGGTAGGCAAGATGCCTAGGTCCTTGTCCGTACATACTGACAGATACCCATTCTCAAATCCAGATGGGTGGTACACTTCCAGGGTCGGCCGCTCTGGCGGATCATTTACACGAGAAAATGCATTGTAGTATTTTTTTTTTTTTTTCCTAACCCATCATGACCTAGATCACAACTGGCCAATATCACAAAAAACTAACCGCCTTCGCTAAAGATTACCACGGGACGGTAGACACGAAGAATTTATTAATATGGCCAGTAATTTAGTGCGACATCGTGAGCCAAAGTGGACCGACGGCAAAGGCCAACATAAACTTGTTTACCACATCAATCTCTTCTTGTCATACTCACAACCAGTTCCGGAATAAAGCTAGGTACTGGTTACAACTGTAAAGAGCTTGCATTAGTGTTGTAGCAAAACCTCGCCTCGCGATCAGCACCCTTGCGGCGACGCGCCCCCGATGCCAAAAGCCAAGACGAGGCAACTCCGCACAACGGGCTGAATTATTCACCACCCCCAGTATTTCATCCATCCATCCAAGCCATGAAGAAGCAGTGACCCCTACCACACCGCATCATTGAGCAATCGTTGCTACACAGCTATGGCACAGTTGCTTTCTGGCGGTCGACGTAGTAGGTATCCGATTTTCGTGCCAGGAAATCTCGCATCGACCCCCCTTACTTCGTATGAGTTATCCTAACTTTAGATATGGCACACGAGGACCCTTAGCTAAGGAAAAATAAGGAGCAAGAAGCTTAACCATGTGGCATTGGTTTAGAATCCCATCGTAGGCTGTACACTTTGACGTCGCAGATAATTCAAGGGTGTTCATATGTATCTGACTTATTACTAACGTACGAACGATCCCAAGTTCGTTAGAGCTCTCTGCTGACGCACAGATCGGACGCGGCGGGTTGATCCCTTGTGGGTTTTGCGCCCTACCAAGCGTATTATGCGCTCATACATACACACTATATACACACTACACTTACACGCTACACTCGGGCCTTATTCCTTTCGGCTCGCTCAGTCCCAAGTTAGTAAGAAATCAGCCACTAGTCGTAGGGCTTAAGGTCCTATGACGTTGAAGAGGCTCCCTTTGTGATTCCTGACGTTAGATTCATCCTTTCTAGACTTCTGTTTTTTTTTTCGTCTTTTATTCTTTTTAATAGCATCCGATCTATTGCCACAGATATCCCGATAGAAGAGGGGGTGTCCGGATTGTTGGAACGGGTTTTCCTCCAAAGGCCAGCGAATCCATGATGCAATGATACCCAAGCCAATCCACCACCCATATGCACGAGAGAAAAGCCGGGTGAAGAACGAACGACGGGAAAGGTTCTAATAATAATACTATGTACTACTAACACCACTCCTAACACTCATTATCATCGCGGGAAAGATTAATAAATCGTAAATTATTCACCAGCTTCGCTTGTCTGGGGGGTAATCAGGATTTGCATTCCCGGCTCTTTGTCGACGCGTGGTCTCCGGGCGAAGGCGAAATTTCAGTTCGATCTCGTGTTGCATTCATTCATTCATTCCTTTTGCGAGCGTTCGGCTTTGCACGGCATTTTTGGGCTCGTGCGCGTTGATTGCAGGACCGTAGTATCCGGGGTGATATGTAGTGATATGTAGCTCGAGCCACCACCGCCACGGACCTCAGGTAGGTAGGTAGGTTAGGTTAGGTAGGTAAGTATGTATTTGATACCATGTACATGTATCTTAGGTACTTAAGTAGAAAGTCGAATGTTAGGTACCTGTATGAAAACATGGAAAGTGAATCGCGTGATTCAGATTCTCGGCGTCTGCCTTGAAACTAAATATGGCTAATTGCTCATGGATTGCTCATCACGGATTTAAGCTTCCCAGGCTGAAAGGGCACAGTCGGTCTTAACATGACGCGTCTATTATTGCTACGGCTGACGCGCTCTTTGGCATGGTTCGGTATCTTACTACTAAACTTAGCTACCTTATGATGAGCCTCGCCAGTGTTCACGATTTAGAGAGTTGGTATTTCATATATCGCAATTAATATGGAAAAGCAATTATCAGTCTCTTATGTAGTACACAAGCCACCAGCCATCAATTGAATAATTCAGGATTCAGAAGCGTCATTTGTCAAAGCTCGGCAGCCTCACTTAAGCGCTCTTGATCAGTTACCGTTCAGATGTCACAGCAAGACGGGCTTAAATGATTGGTATGCTATGGTTGTTGAAAAGTTTTAATAAAAGAAGGTTCTATTGTAGTTAAGTGGTATATATTAGGTAATTATTGCGCTGTTGTTGCTTTTCCTGTATTCTCAGTCTAAGCAAAGTATCAAAGCGTTTGAGACGTCCATAGCATACATTAAACAATGAAGTTTTAAAGTAAACAATAAGCCCCGGTGTGAGAAGCTTTCTTTAAAAACCTTATCCCACAAGGAAAGTTGATTTATAAGGTTTAAGGAAAGAATTTGTGAGTATCCGTGACAATGTGTAGGCATATGTGTAAAGTATCTCTTAAGCTACACAACTAATATACGATTATTTGGTTTTAATAGTTATAATTATAAGCTAAGTATGCCTTTATTTAGATAAACTGGAACGACATCTTATCACATAGTAAGTCTTTAGAAGTTTGACTTAAGACCTTTAAAACACTCTCTAAATGGAATGTTTATACTTAGGTACCTATACTTGTAGTCTTGCCGTGATTAGTTTTTTAGTTTTCCAAGTGATAAGTAACTCTTGCTGCTTTAGATTATCCTTGATTGATTTTGATTATGAATCGTTTCTTTAAATAATATACTTGACATTAGCCAGGTAGTTTTCACTTATTCATACGCTATGAAATATATAATTGCTTTGGGGCATGAGACTGATATTTATAATCATATAGAACTCCAAGTTATATTTATCATCAAGCAGACTTTAAGTAGTTTTATAATTTGAAACTCGAAATTGGGTTCGGAAGATATACTCAAGCACGTCAACTTTTACGTATGCTAGGTTAGGTGCTTTTCATATTTCTTTATAATTCCCTTCAAGGTACCATAGTTGTCCCAGCATTGATTAAATTTCTACGCTCATATGCTCCAAGATTGGTAACTTATGTCATATTCAATCTAGTCTAACCGCCTATAAGAAGTGTAATGTTAATACTGTTGAACGATACATGCTTTTAAATCCTAGACTGAAACCCCGGGAGCGGAAATCTAGCGTTGTTAGAATTATGACTAGGAGCCTCCATATCTAAACTAGAGTTCCTGCGTAATGATTTTGGTTGCTTCTGTCTCCTAAGTTTACCTCGTGATAAGCATCTCTTGAATCTGTACTAGTACTGGATGGTTGTCATCTTTAACGGTGTCTTGAACACGGAAACCAGTAATAAGCTTAGGTAGAAGAAATAATATTTCATTAGACACTCATAGACGACATCGAGAGACATGTTAACAGCTCAAAAAATTCTCCGAGGATATCTTCAATTTAATGACATCCTGATGATATTGAAAGAACACACATAAGTCTCTCATAATGCTGTAATACTACGAGCGCAACCCAATTTCAAATGCTATGTCTTGAGTCTTTTATCATGTAACATAACCCTCATCATCTATTAACATATAATTAGCGCTATAATACCATAACCCCATTAGACGAGGATAAACTCATAGGAGTTGTGAGCCGAGTTGTATACGTTGCTAATTCATCTAACCTGAATTAATTACAGGTTTCGGGAATCAGGGGTTATGGGGGAGAAGGCATCTTACCATGAAGCTCGTGCCAGATTTATACAAGATCGCAAAGCTACCGGAAGTTGCTAGTGTAAACCGAATAGTGAGAAAGCTCGGATCGATGCGTAACTTCTGGAACTACTAAGGAGGGGAAGACTGAAGCTGGAGTTCAACTGATGGGAATCGATCAAAGCGGCAGTATGGGGTTATGTAAGAGATGCATAACTTGACTTATTCAATACTACCTCTGCATATCTGGGAATAACATGGCCGTTGTAACCACAAGGAACTGTTGCACTAACATTTATGACCTGTAATATTCGCATAACTTGATAAGATTCGGCTGTATGTAATCTGTAATCCGTACGGATTACGACTTACATTCAACGCCGATTTACCCTTGTAATGAAGCGCACCCATAACTTCGTTGTGGTTGAAATTGATTAAGCAAATCATTTCCGTGAAATATTAAAGCATCGTTCATCTCGCGGTTATCTTTTTCTGTGAGCTTTTCAATTGGTAACCTTCACTACGTGCGAGTTCTGATTAATATGTTGGTTCGCCTATCATGCATCTCTATGCCAACTCGGACCGAAGGCGTTTGGAAATGGCCTGTAACTGGAGCATCGTGGCGGGAGTTGTAAAATGTAAAAAAAAACCCACCTCGTTTTTCTTGTTCAGCCTTGCCTCGAGTTTTATATTTACTTTACATCCTAGAAACTTTACGAAGACTGTTCAAGTTGATTTGAAATTCTTCTTGAAATTCCTAGCTGCTCTTATTAGCATTTTGACGCTATAATGTCTCAAGTTAGCTGTCAAAAATGCCCCCCCATCTCTGTACTTCAGTGGAAGCCAGGTACGCCATTACATCTGAGATATGAGGCCTCGCTTACCTATGTACCTTGCAGAGAATAGCCATTGGCATCAGCGCTGGGTCGATAGCGACGAATTTCATAGCGATGACGGTTGCCAGGCGATATACGCAGAATCTCAGATTTGTATAATGTTAGCAAGTGATCCTCGAGCGACGAGTGACAAAGTTAACAAGCTTTAAGTCTTGCGAGTGCCAACGATATTCGCGCATGTATCTCGTGTCGAAATTCGTTCACCAAGACATTCTCTATTCCTCAGATATGGTGGTCGGACTACTGCCGAAACTCGAACGGATATCTTGGAAGTGATATAAGTAGACATAATGGGGTTATCACGGGGTTCAGTGTGTTTATGGCATTTTTATACTTTATACTTGATTTTACTGGATGCTAATTCGTTGCAGGTACGTGGGCTTATTTTGAGGTCAAGCATTTAGATGCCAAGATGCAGTATCAATGGCACAAGATGAACCTTTTCATAAGATGGCTAGCCCCTACAAAGCAGACAATCATCCTCGCTTTCGATACGCGGTCTCCTGTCGCAGAGCGCATACCTGATTCGCTTCAGAATCCGGACTCTAGCTGTCTCGGTGATCCGTTTTGGGTTTACGCCCGGTTAGCCAGCGACGTGGTGGACCTTCAAGACTCTGCCGTCTGGGCTATTCGTAACCAAGTGAGGGCAATAGAGACGGAGAGGAAGCCGAAAGGTAAACCGCAGCCGGACTACAGACATCTCCACGATGTCGCTCGACACGCTATTCACGTAACCGAGTCTCTCAATGTTGCTGCTGAAAGCATGGGAGGCATTCTAGCACAGCACGATGAATTCTTGAGCCAGAACTTCCCAACCCAGATGATACAGATCGACGCCTCGGAAACTATCCATCGCCAGCTACTTTTCTGCAGACATATGCTTAACAACCTCCGCCACCGGTCTATCTCCAACCGCGAAAGATTACAGAACGAGATTCAACTTGCATTTAATACTGTTGCCCAGTACGATGCAGGGATTTCCGTCCAGATTGGACGTGCTGCGCAGTCAGATGGCGCATCGATGAGGAAGGTTGCTTTCGTCACCATGATGTTTTTGCCAGCTACTTTCCTCTCCGCTGTTTTCAGCATGTCGTTCTTTGACTTCCAAGCCGACTCCGACTCTTGGAACGTATCAAGCAAGTTCTGGATTTACTGGGTATTCGCAATTCCGATTACCATTGCTAGCAGTCTCTTGTGGTATTTCTGGCATAGAGTCTTCCCCCTTACGCTTATGGAGCATTAGCTACCGACTCTCGCACATTAATAATTATAAGAAAATAAAGTTTTTAAACCACTTGGTAAAGCTGGCTACCTACCTGACAAACTCCTTTTGATATAATATCCATATGTGACCAGAATAACAATTGAATGTGTAGGCCGATACTTGAGAGGCAGCCAAATGGTATTTTTACCATCGTATTTGATCCGTTCTACGTTTCCCCCCTGGGTTTTCGAACTTACAAGTGGTTTAACACTTCAGTCCGAATCTGATCGTGGGCCGAAACCAGCCAATATTCAGCTCCAAAGGAGACCATGAATGATCTATATATATCTCAAGGCGGTCCCCGAAAGGGGTAGATTCTACGTCTGAAAATCGACTGGTGTTCTTTGGTAAAACTTGCTAGACACGTGCCTGTCACTGTATCCCATACTTTCGCCTCATGCTCACATGCTGGTGCCATATCGACGCCGTAGTCCGAAATAGCCACGTTTACAATGCGACCGTCATGTTTCCCGCAAAAGGTTGAGTCTGCACTTATTGTTACGTTCTATATTTTGATTGTCCTATCGCTTGAACCTGATGCTAGTTGACTGTTGGGAGAGAATGCCACTGAATTTATCTCATGGTTCTGACCATATAAGGTTGCTAAGCGTGCGCTCCGTTCATTTTCGATACCTGGCTCTAAATTTATCTATGGGTGTTTCTTGCTCTTAATTAGTTTGAGAAGCCGTGAGATATCCGTCTCGCATTCATCAAGGGCATCGACTATCAATATGGTATTTGTAAGTTTTAGGTTCTGTAGTATGCTCTCGAAGATATTGTGCAATTCAAACCAAGCATTTACACATTCGAATAGTGCCTTTCCCGCGTGGTTATACCTTTCCTGTATATGTGAAATAAATGATGGCTGTTTGTCGACAAGGAGGTAGATAAGACCGCGTAATACAGCTGTTCCATTGTTCAGCCGGGTGTCTGTAGCCTGAAAAAAAGAAGAAAGATAGGATATGGTCAGCGTTGGCAGTCCGATTCTTCAACTCGTCGATAATGCTGCGGAGGAGCATGGCCTTGCCCTTCTTTTGATTATTTGTACTTATTTGACTACTTGAAAATGGGGCATTTAATAACTTTCTTGATGACATATCTAGATTCTAGAACAGTATGACTAGGTAGGTACCTAGGCATTTTCTGGGTCTATATAAGAAAGTAGCAGTAGCTGCTGAATAATGTTACAACAGGCAATGAATTCTTTCGATCTGTAGGCATTTCGAAAAAATAAATATTGGGACTATAAACTAGGAACTATACGGATTAAATACAAGGCTCTGCTTATTCTAACAGACCAAATACTAGGGGTTGCGGAGCCGGTGCTGCTAGTCTGCTCAATTCCCTGCTCTTCATACTACTAACATGTATTAACTAGGTTATATCCTCTTATACTTCTAAACATAGGTACCTAGGTATATATATGACTTCTATCGGACTCTTCATATTCGCCACTGTACTAATAGCGTCGGCTCATTTGAATGACCGTATGTAAACGCTACGGGCTGCACTGCATAGTGAGAAATATGCCGTATCTATCACATATGGCTTGTAAGATCTAGGGTAGGGTGGAAGGCATAAAAATATGGAATAGGTTGGTTGAAGGTTGCGAGGTGTTGGATATATTTGGAGACAGGAATATAATGTAAACTTCAATGAAAACAAGCAAATCGAGTAACTTGTTGCTATTTAACGCCATATACCTACTCCTACATGACTGGTAATACAGAAACTCAAACTCACCAAACAGCTCTGCACTAGACAACCAAAGTTCTTCTACACCTCTCGCCAGTATTTGGTGACTCCTATTTCGAAGGGGAGGTTTTTTTCTTTTTAGGTCTCTTCGTGTAATCCATATTAACGATACGGAGTCCGAAGCACATCAGGAACGTCAAGTTATACACTGAGCGCCAATCCTGATGTTGACTTTTTGGTTATGTTTGACAATTGTCGGATTCTCTCTATCGTGCCCTGATATTATGTTCCCGTTAGTTTATAGTAACATGAGTTGGCATGCTTCCTTTGATGGCTACCTACGTGATCAAGCCTCGCTTTAGACTTGACATTATATGTATTATGGCGCATCTATCTCTATCTTAGTAATGCGTTAGCTAGTAAGTAGTAAGGATAAAAGACATACTTCTACTACATACTCGCCGGCCCCAAACTGATCTTCTAGGATTTCACTAAGTTCTTCGGGATTTGGAACGTACTTCGAATGAATAGGGGTATAAATGTCAAAGTCGACTGTATCGTTGGTTCTGTGAGCCATACCCTTGGTATCTACTACCATAGGAACAAGGTTCAGTTTTTGTTCTGGTAATGCGTAGTCAAAACTATTAATCTGGCGAGACGAATAATGGAGCTTTTCGAACTGTAGTGCCAAGTAAGTTTTTGTAAATGGACTGAATCCATATCTTATACATAGCGAAAGCCCAGAATATCTCTGAAGTTGGAACTTGAATTCGATCATGAGGAATGATGTTGTGTTTCCTGAGTGACCAATCATATAAGCTCGCAATACTCCCGAATCTCACCTCGAATAACGCTGCAGTCTTTCAGCTGTTAAGTGCCCAGCTGAATGTCCCAAATAGGAAATCGTAAGGTGTTGGAAAATGCATGAAATCAATAAATGCTGCTCTGCCCCCTATATATGGGAACTGTTAATGGCAAACTGGCCGAGTGGCGAGATTAAAGTGCGCCAAGGCTTTCGTGTTAGATACGGACTTAAACGATTATTGACAGTACCTAATATTAAGAGTTGTAGGTTAGGTGGTTACAGGTAACGTAATATAGTGTGCTATCGCGTTCAGATACGTAGCAGGCGTATATATTGGATACCTTTGGAAGTCTCTTTAGTTCCTAACTGTACTGCAATATGCGTACTGCCTATAGTTTTGTGGGGGTGTAAACCCTAGAATGTGTTGTAGTAAGACGAGTGGTGAGTCGATTATGCCTCTTCCTTATATGCTGCAAGACTTCCGTAATGACGGAACGATTGATTGCTTGGTAATTCTCACCTACGTGTCGTGTGACAACGAGTTGGTAGATATTATATCGCGGGAATTTCTCTTTCTTATGGTGACTAAACTTGAAATAGCTGATCTGGTGATCAGTAAAGCTAGTAACAGGTACCTTGACCATTTGATGTACTTTGAGTTAGAGGATGCAACTGCATAATTACCTACATAACTAGCAGAGGTTGGAGTGTGATACTTAAGAGAAGATACCTCTCATACTCGTGATATTCCGGAATAACCCCAATGTCAATTCAGCTATCATCATTCAAGAAATGCCATGCGCTTACAGAAATCATTTCCCATTTCCGTAACTTAGTTGGGTGCATTGCTGCATGTACCATTGCTTATTTACTTATCCGTTGTCAATGGGTAGCTGGGACATCCATTTAGAGCTTGTGCCTCGTGAATGAAGTTGGCTGAAGAGAAACTCATAGGGGGCCTTAATCTCAGGCGATTGTTCCGATTTGCTAGGCGTAACGCAACAGGTAGACACCCCCAAAAACATTTCTGTAAAGAAGCAAGGCCCCAAAAGAGCCTCAATAACCCTAATTTCATTGTTTTAATATCAAGCCATGTCACAAGATTGACTAAAGAGGGCACTTGTATATTAATTACCCACTTGGCTTGGTATCATTTATGTTATATTGACATCGGTTGTGAGCGACTATTCTACTTTACAATTTAATATCAAGCCTTTTCAAGAGATAATTCTGACCTGTGAGCGTGGAACATGAAAACGGCCCTGGTAAGTATGATGGCCTTTATCAACCCGACATATCTTACTATATACTGAGTGGTTTATGGACTAATTAATGTCAGAGTTTCGTTCAGTCCGAAACATTGGCATCTGGAGTAAGTCGTTTTCTACAGGGAGCCACCCGGGGGCACCCATATTTGCTGTAGTGTCTGTTAATAGGGGATTATCCACAGGAACCAGTGTCACTATTAGAGGGCGAGATTATTGGGGCATTTTCAAGTCGAGATCAAACGGATGAACGGAAAGACAAAAGCCCTAGACTCGAAGATGAGCTACAAAATGCAAGGACCCGAATTCCGGGAAAGGACCAAGAATTTATTCCAATCGATAGGCTCAATGAAATCATCACTCGACAAAATATTCAGAGAGAGTTCCGTTATTGTCTGCCAGAGCTATCATTGGATAAAAACCTGTCTACTTGGGTTAATGAAATCTGGGACGAGTTTGAGTATGTTGATCTTGTCACGGGACAAAAGATGTACACGTCTCGACGAAAAATCTTTGCTGTATTGATTCTACTTAATGATCCTAAGAAGATTGAGTCATTTATTCGCGAAGATCTATGGGATAAGGATCTACCTTTCATCAAGAACGCCGAAGGGAAGTGGCTTTGTAATACCGAGGGCAATCAGGGCAGAGGTTTGAATAAGTCAAACCACCCTTACTGGGGCCACCCTAGTGGGGGCCACCCATTTCCCATACAAAATCAACGATTTCACATATTTATATTTAATTCAAGAAAATAAATAAAAATATACGGTTTTTGATTTTAGGTATAATGTTAGATTTTTACCAGGTATAAAATTTTGAAAAGATGGTAGGGCTAATATTTATGGTAAAATGAATATAAAAGTATATATTAATAATTACACATATAAATTTATATATAAAGTTATTAAAGGATATTATTGCTTATAACTTTACCAATTAATATAATATAAATGTAAACTTTATGTTATTAAATAAAAAATGTTTTAATATAATTTTTAAATTTAAAATTAAATATTAATTTTTTTTTAAATAAATAAGTTATATATTTTATATTCAATTTAAAAGTTATATTAAAACGGTATTTATTTAATGATATTAATTAATAAAATTATAAGTATTAATAACCTTTAATAGTTTTATATATACATTTATATATATAATTATTAATGTATATTTTTATATTTATTTTATTACAGATATTAACCTTAACATTTTTTTTTAATTTTTATATATAATAAAAATCTAATACTGTGCTTAAAATCAAAAACCGTATATTTTTATTTATTTTCTTAAATTAAATATAAATATGTGAAATCGTTGATTTTGTATGGGAAATGGGTGGCCCCCACTAGGGTGGCCCCAGTAAGGGTGTTTTAACTTATCGCCATGGAGACTATTACCATCTAGTATTTCCTTGGGCAGAAGGGAACCTGAAGGACTTTTGGAAGAAGCATACAAAGCCTACAAAAACCTATGAACTGGCGCTGTGGATTGCAGACCAATGCAGAGGTATTGCCAAAGGTCTGGATTTGATCCATAAAGATGACTTTGAGAAGCCCCCATTGACCCCGGACGATGCAAGGAAGGGGAGACATGGTGATATCAAGCCAGAAAATATCCTGTGGTCCAAGGACTCTCAAGATGAAGATAGACCTTGGATGGGTACATTGAAAATCTCCGATTTTGGGTTGACACGTTGGCATCGCGACAAATCTAACCGCATCGTTTATGTCAATGGATTGGCTGCGTCTCGGACTTACCGAGCACCCGAGAGCGACTTGACACAAGAGGTATTCCAACCCTGGGATGTCTGGACTCTAGCATGCGTGTTTCTAGAGTTTCTGACATGGTATATTCATGGCTGGAACGAGGGAGTGGATGAATTCTCAAAACAGCGAGCCTTTGAAAGCTCCTCGTTCCCTATCCGTGAAGACAATTTTTTCAACCTGGGAAAGAAAAAAGAAGGCTCAAAGTACAAAGCAAGTCTGAAAATCTGCGTGATTGATGTGATTATAATCTTCCTTTCTTACTTGAATAATACTGACTATAAGTTCTATAGTGGATTAACAGACTTCACGCTACAAAAGGATGTTCTATCTTCATCCACGACTTTCTAGATCTCATATATAATTCCATGCTCCGTATCCGATACAAAGAACGCTATAAATGTGAAGAGGTTGTTGTCAAACTGGACGACATGTATAGGAAATGTAGAAACGACAAAAAATATTGTTTCGAGAGTGCACACTATTATGAGAGGAAGAGGAAGACCAACGATTCCGATCGTCAGGATTTCCATGATACGGAAACAGCAGGATTGGCTAATATAGGTGGTAGCGGGGAACCTAACGGCGAGCAACAATGTGAGATTCAAAGAAAAGCAACCAGGCTGCTTCCGCATCAACAGACATACCAATTGGACAGAAAGCAACATGGTGACTTCGATCAGTTTCCGGCTTCGGTAACCGATGAAGTATACGAACAGGTGGCGGAGAGCCCCTTGGAGTTAAGCCATAATACCATCACCTTCCTACCAACAAGACCAATTGCCGATCTTCGTATTGACGGACCAAAAGAACCAGAGGAGCTAAGCATGACACGAAACGATATAGGAGCATTTCGGAATTCTTTATCATCCCATGACCTTAGACACCGGGACAGGGCAGCTAATGTTACCCTAACTAGACGGGATGAAAATTTACATAAGACAAGCCAAATGGACGAAAACTCACTCCAGTCAAGTATATCAAGATATGGAGACTATTATGACTGTGCAAATATTGAGGGTCCTGCAAAGTTGAGCTCCTCGGTCCGATTAAACGATTGTCGTGGGCGGAATACGGAATTAGACTCGAGGGCTGAAGGTGAAGATGACGAGGTTCTCCGCCCAAGACAGCCTGGCTCCAAGAGAAAGAAATTAGCAGAACGGCTGAGAAGCATAATAGCATGCCTTCTAACATAATCGTCCTGTTGAAGATAGGTAGGCACCTAGGCAGAGAAGCTAGGATTATGTCATTGTCAACATTTTGGATCATGTGCTAATTAATTGTATAAATAGGTAGCTAGAGAGCCTTGCAAGGAAATGTAGAAAATCATGGAACTACTATTGCTATCTGGTTATATTAGGTGGCTATGTGCTTATGGAAGTAAGTTGTGCGACCTCGCCAGGCCTTCCTATAGGTGAGAATCGTTAATCGTGACATTTCTCTTGCATGTATACCTCATGTTACCCGCATCTAGGCTATATGCTATTTTCCTATATTTTAATCTGAAGGGGTCCATATGGATTAATTACGCAAAAGATGTAGTAATGGAGAAAACTAAGCAGCTGAATGCCTTGGTTGCCTCTCCTTTTTCATTGTTTTTAGGTGTTTCACAGGACAAGGCTCAGATGCTCTATGGTAGGGCATATTTCGTTGCGTTTCGCAGCCGACTCGTTATTCCAAGGAATACTATAGCACTGACGGTTATATATAAAGCAGGTAAGACTCGGCATGTGCCCTTGGGAGGAGTTGAATAGTAATATTCGCTAAAAATGGCTCATGTCTCTAGTAATATCGCTCCGGCTGCGTCCGAGGCTACTGTTACCGATGATCCTGTAGGGCCCAGTCAAATATCCCAGTATAATCGCGACCCCAAGTCATGCCAACCTCTCCTCAATCTACTTTTTGAAAGCATGAATAAGCATCCTGATGGCAAGAATTTCTTAACGCTACATTGCCTGAGGAAACTTCTCTTTAGATCGAGAGTCCAGAACTATCTCCAAGAATTCTTTGATAACGCCAATGGACCTGATTATCCCTCGCCAACCGAGAATATGGAATACTACTTGGGGCTTATCTGCGCTGATGGCCAACCCGGTGCTAACTCAATTACAACTGATGGCAAGACATATATCCGACTTTTCGCATCACTGGTTTTGGCTGAACAAGCCACATATATATTTAAATTGATAGATGATGGTATATGCGACCAGAATCTACCTATCATCAAGGGCCCCAATGATAACTGCTCGCTATATACCAGTAAGTGGAACATACGAGATAAGATTGAATTCAATTCATATCAATGGAGAATGAATGTTCCGTTTCTAGAACGCGGCAAACATAAGGAATTCTCGAACGAGGTTGTTATGCCCTTTCTCGATAATACTTCGTCCAGGCCTAACAGTGACGCGCCCGATCTCCCGGAGACGAGAGGGGGATATGGTGAAGTATCTTCTGTCGAGACGAGAGGGGGATATGGTGAAGTATCTTTTGTCGAGATCCATTCGAAGGCTCATAACTTTTGCGACGAACCTTGCCCGGTAAGTGCACTACCTTATAACGATATTACGTCTTGGTCACTTACTATATACACTTTAGCCCGTATTTAAAAAACGTCTTTTCGCGCTCAAAAAGCTTTACGGAACTGCGAACTGTGAGCGAAACAAGAAAGATTTCCAAAAGGAAGTAGAGATGCTTAAAAGATTTAGTGGTAATATACATCCACATATTGTAACTGTCTTGATGACTTACAAGCATGAAAACCGTTACTGTTTTCTCTTCCCACGGGCGGAATGCGACCTGGATCAATATTTCCAACTGAATACCAACCCAAAAGGAGATGTCAAAACTGTTCGGTGGCTCGCTGGACAATGCCTCAAGCTCACGGAGGCCGTTGACACAGTTCACAATCCCCCGGGGCAGGGCTCCTTGCAGCCGAATGAAAGGTTATACGGCCGGCATGGCGATATAAAGGCAGAGAATATACTTGTCTTTAGTGCCGAGGGTAAGGAGGACGTCCTCGTTCTTTCAGACTTTGGGCTTGGTTCTATGCATCACGACTGGAGTAAATCTAACATTCCAAACAAGAATATTACGTGGACTCCACCCTTTCGGCCGCCTGAGTGTGATATGGAAAACGGTTACATAAGTAGGGCCTTCGATATCTGGACTCTCGGCTGCCTTTTCCTTGACCTGTTGACCTGGCTCCTCGGTGGCGAAGAGCTTAGAAAACAGTTCCTCGAAAAGCGTATGACGCCATATATTACCGGATGCAATATGCCCATCTACTTCGAAATCATAACGACAGAAAATGGAAGAACCGGTATTATTATAAAGGAGGAGGTGAAAGACGTAAGTATTGATTTGATACCTCTGTTTTCTAGCTGGCACAGCTGATTGGTTTCAAGTGGTTCGTCACAATGCACCATCATCCTCACTGCACCCACTTCATGCACGAATTCTTGGACTTGATCGAGAAGAAAATGCTGATCGTGGAGACAGAAGTCGACAAAAGAGCAAGAACGGGCGAATTGCTCAAAGATCTGAGGTTGTTTCATGCCAAATGCACCGGACCAGGTAATAACGAATACTGTTTCAACCAACAACCCGATAAAGATCGTCTAAGCATTCGTCCCATTATTGCCGAAGGATCATTAAGTGAAGATGCAAGGGACCGTATCAGAAAGTCGAAGATTTGCCTCAGGAGATTCAGTGGTCCCACACAAAGGGCCGAGCAAAACTTGGAAGAAGGAGATGAATTGTTGAGGAACATCCAAATTCCTCGAAATATGCAGGGCTCGGTTCAATCCAACGCTAATCAACACGTATGGCACACATACTAGGTTAGTCGATTTAACATGGCCGTGTAGTTAATCTACTCATTAAGAATGATTTTTGGCGAGTGGATTCTGATGGATAGATTGAATTGATCAGAGCCCTGGAATTAATATGTAATACAACTAAGGGGATAAAGGCGTGGGCATTTATTTAAAGTCTTTTTATTAAATTCATCGAATTATTATGGCCAACACCTGGTATAATAACCTGAGGTTCTCGTCTCGCAAGAGCTAGATAAGTAATCCACTCTCTGCCATCTCATTATCTTTCGTAGTGTTCGCTTTCGAGTGCCGATTGGACATCCTCGGTCTCTTTCTAGCCATCGATATTAGATATCATTTTGTAACTGTGTGGAAATCCTACTCGAAATGTATATAGAGTCACTCTCTATATATATCTTACCGGCGTCAAGGTTCGGGGGATTGTGCAGTAGAATCGACCTCGTTGAAACTAAAAACTACTGTCAGAGCTTTCATTTGTGGGAAATATATGCTTCCTCGTGCTCAAGCACCTACGTTTATCTGAATCGTGCCTGTTGGGAATACCTTTCTTAGGTGTTCATACAATGAAGTTTCATCCGTATATCGCGCTCGAAAGACCGAGACAGCAGCCATAATCTCGTAGGGGGCTGTGGCCTTTAACGAAACCACTCGATTTAATTTTGACTGTAAATCTGACTTGTGGATTAACCAGAAAGAGGTCTAGCCTTGTAATGAATCTCGATTCGAGCAGAGGCGGTAGTACACGATTCCGAAGAAGGGAAAACAGCCCTGAGGCTAAAAATGCCTAAATGCCTTACGCAACCAAGTACGTGGCTGTGTTTATTGGAGGCTGAGAAATAAATAGGTTGCACTGCATATGTACTGCCCGTGTTGACTCAATGTACCTAGGTATCTAAGTTAAATCACCTTTACTGGGGCCAGCCACCCTAGTGGGGGCCACCCATTTCCCATACAAAATCAACGATTTCGCATATTTATATTTAATTCAAGAAAATAGATAAAAATATACGGTTTTTGATTTTGAATAAGGTATTATATTATTATTATATATAAAACCTCGTAATTAGCCGTGTATAATGCACTATCTACTTTCTTAACATGATTATATCTGTAATTCCGATAAATGTTGCCCGAATTGGAACGAGGAGGAATCTACAATAATTTGATCTAGGCACAGCTCTAGAATACAATATCAACAAGATGGATTTACCGAGAGAAAGCATCGGGATAAATGATAAGGACCTTCAAAAAGTCTTCAAATACGAGCCAGGGGAGTCAACAGTAGTAACAAGGTTGGAGGGATCTAAGCAGGTTAGGTTACCAATATTCATCCTTCAGATTTCGTAACGGCACACTAATTTACATTTTCAGAAGTCAACTATCGAGTCGATCAATACTGATGATCGTTGGGAAGAATGGATTAATATGGTATATACACAATTGAACTTACTACGTCGAAAATACCTTCGCTAACCATTCAAAAAGCTTCCTCCACCTGATAGCTTAAACTCGGGGCTTATACTGATGTAAGTACGATGCTTAAAAACTCGTATATTAGATTGCTGACTGCATTTCTAGACTCGCGAGACGGCCCGGTCAGATGAATCTCTCAATGGTATATAACAGCCATAGACCAGTATCGAACGAAGCTGACGAATCACTAACTCATGGATTTAGAGATCCACGAACTGCCCTGCTAAAGAGGATAGAGGGCTGAGCTGCGGGAACAAACCCGTTCTGAATAATGGTGGAAGTCGCAGTGTTAGGACCTTACCATTTTCACCCAAAGTATTCAAATTAATGTCGGAAAAATTTTATATTCACGGGTCAATAGCCCGGGTTATAAACCGGTCTGACGTGCCTCATTTTTCTCGGGTAGAGATGGAGATCGAAATAGAGGGCTCTACTCATCCCGCGTATGGTACGTATATCATGATGCTGCTGCGCATGGAGAGGTGAAGCTCACAAGAAAATAAAATAGCATATAATTGCCGAACGACAAATGCATGGGAAGCGGATCTCGCTCTAACTGTTACCCACTTTCCACGCTCTGGATTAACGTATGCTATACTGTTCGGCTGTCCCGTATCTATAGAGAATGAAGTCATTGCACGATTGAACTATCCTGGAGTAGAGGCCAGCTACCCATTACTACTACCGGGAATTTTTGCAGAGCTGGAGAGAAACCGACACCTCAATATTATCGAGGATTACATCAACAATATTGAAGAGAAGATATTTGAACTAGACTACCAGCTTCCAGTGGAGCAGCAGATACGCTGCCCTAGCATTAAGGGGCAAAGCAAGGATAAGAGGTCACAGTGGCTCGACACAGCATATCTAAAGAACAGCCTAGTTACCTGGAACACGCAGTTATTTAAGATGGCTGGACATATTGGTGAGCTCAGAAATACACTATTTGGACCACATGAGAGAAAGTACTCGCGGATTGGTAACGATGATATTCCATGCGTTGGCTGCGACTCCAAGATGAACATGTTAACGGAACCAATTTGCCATCCGTTGTGTGAGACGTCATGTATCGGGCCCGTTAGTGGGTATTACCAATATAGGACCATTCCACAAAACTGGAAAAGCGTTGAGTTGCGTAATCATAGGATGAGGATATTTGGAGCCAGAATCAATAGCCGCCTCCAGGCCATGATGGAGGAGTACGAAGATAAGATCCGAGAATGTGCTATGAGACTTGATGGAATGGCAATGGCTACGCAATGGGTTCGACCTTACCTTTCCAATTTTACTACTATTTAAGTAGTCCATTCACTAACATAGCTTGATAGTCTCACGGGGACACTAATGTCGAAATAGCGCTAGCAACGGGACGTGATTCACGGCATATGCGGTCTATCGCTGTAGTCACAATGGTGTTTCTCCCAGGAACGTTCTGTGCAGTAAGTCATATGTTCGATGCACGATTGCTGCTTTACTACCAAGGCATGTTCATAGTTAACCACCCCGTGGCAGAGTGTTTTCTCCATGCAGTTCTTTAACTGGTTTCCTGGAGATGACGGCAATACCATGGTCTCACGTTACTTCTGGATATACGTCTTGGTCACAATAGCAATGACCCTGCTGACGCTTGGAGTCTGGTACTACGTGTCATGGAAGGAAAAGCAACAAAAGCAGCATAATGCCGATTCGCAGGAAGGTATGCATGTTTAGGGAACTTAATTAGTCGAGGGAATTTCTCATATTACTGATCATTTATTCAAATGATGAGCATATACACTTATCATCATCCAGGAGAATAAAAAGTACGGGGCGGTAGTACAATATCATGTACCTACGACGAATAAATTTATATCATTCTGTTTGTGTCACCACATGTGTTCTGTCTCCATGCCCTGTCAGTCGATTGAAGCTTGTTTCGTGCATTCTTGGCGGATCACCAATGTGAACTGCCCACATCATCAGACATTTATGAGAGGTGGTGCTGGAGACTCGTGGTTCGAATTAGGACATGTCCTCGTCTTAACTCTATCTAGACCATGATATGTAATGTTGGGCATGATCTTTTAGGGCATAATAGAAAATAATTACGGGGCAACTGTAATTAGAGGAATACAAGTAATATTTAGTAGAATAACTTTTAGACGGCCACCCTTTCGAAAATTACGTTAACTACCTACCTAGGTACCTAACATGTACCTAAGGTGTACGGCTCCGGTTCGCTTAGGTTTCATAGGCGGGTAAGTAACTCCCTTATTCCGGTTGGAACCAAGTATGCCTAAGTATGAGCATGGACTAACAGCAATGTCTCCAAAATATGAACGTATGAATGTATTATAAGCTTCTTTCCTAGGCTTTGAGGATTTTCGCTTTTATTAAGACCGAAGAGCTTTCCTATAATAGGCTTATCTAATGCGGCACAAATGCTTACCAACATTAAGCTTACCATGCCCATGGTACATGGTAGCCAATGATAGTTCGTCCTTCAACCGCAAGAAGTAATATAGAAAGGACATGACTTTTATAATGGTATTAAACAAGCAATGGTGATGTTTTATAAATTCGGAATATTTCACGTATTGCCGGTCTGATTAAATACCTACCTACCTAGGGAGGTAACTAGGATTTTATCGTACTAATATACGATATTTTCGGCGTCGCATTAATACATTGGGAGGCATATACTTGCGGTACACTTATAACTGTAACATGGTGATATCAAAACCTACTAAGGTAAATTATCACTTGCATGTGTCCTGGGCAGACTTACCCGGCACTACTTACTGATAGCCTACTAGTGATGACGCTACCGGCTTTTGCCTATTCTCGTAGTAGTATGGACGATAACTTTATGCTAGTCTTAGTGGAGACTCAATTGCGTCATGGCGTTCAAGGTTCTTAATACACTGAGAGAAGTTAAGAGGTATGTAATTAGATAATGAGATACTAGTATCGGAGTTATGAAAGCCGGAATGGATTGTTAAGCAAATGTACACTCGCATGAAAAAAGATAGGGTAAGATACTTCGGGAGGTTTAATGGGGATAAGTATCTTGCTGACGCTACCTATGCCGAATAACTATTATACTTATACTGCTATCTACTGCTATCTTATCCCATTCAGTCGTTCTCATCATTGCATAATCCATAAAAACTGCCTGCAAATAAATTTCCACTTTCCACTTCCCACTTCCCCTCATGTCTCGTGTATTTCACAGGTTCTCAGCCATCATCCCCAGAAACCAGCTACAGCACTCAAGAAGAATAACCACAATGCCAGCCGTAAGGTCCGCATATGATCCCAAGGACATGCAGTTCCGCCATCTCGGCCCAACTGGTCTGAAGGTGAGCGTGCTGTCTTTGGGTGGATGGTTAACCTATGGAGGTACTGAGAAGGGCGAGATTGTCAAAAAATGCCTCCAGACTGCCTGGGACCACGGTATCAACACCTTTGACACAGCAGAGACCTATGCTTCGGGAGAGTCTGAGCTGGAGATGGGTAACGCCTTGAAAGAACTTGACTGGCCTCGTGACGAGTATGTCCTTACCACTAAGATCTTCTTCGGTACAGGTCGTAAGGAACCCAACACTCGCGGACTTAGCCGAAAACATATTGTTGAGGGTCTCAAGTCCTCCCTAGAACGTCTGCAACAGCCATACGTTGACGTTGTTTTCGCCCACCGCCCCGATTATGCTACACCCATGAGGGAAATCGTGGAGGGCTTCACTCAAGTCATCCGAAACCTTAACCTAGCCTATTACTGGGGAACGTCAGAGTGGAGTGCTACTCAGATCATGGAAGCCACCCAGATCGCAGAGCGATATAATCTCATCGCGCCAGTGGTCGAGCAGCCCCAATACAACGCTTTTCACCGCCAGCGATTTGAGGTTGAATACGCACCGCTGTTTGAGCAGTTTAAGTACGGTACCACAATTTGGTCTCCGCTCGCCTCTGGTCTATTAACAGGAAAATACAATAACGGCATCCCCGAAGGATCGCGGTTTGCTAAACACGGGGACTTCTTTGACGGTACTATCAAGTCATTACAGACGGAGGAGGGTAAGGCGAAACTTGACAAAGTTAAGAAGCTGACCGCAATTGCGGAACGTCTTGGTGGAACTACCGCGTCGTTGGCTTTAGCCTGGACTCTCAAGAACCCGAATGTCAGTACGGTAATTCTCGGCGCCACAAAAGTTGAGCAGATCGAGGACAATGTCAAAGCTCTTAAGTTGGTGGATAAGCTAACACCGGATGTATTGGAGGAGATCGAGAAGATTCTTGACAACGCACCTGCTCAACCCTCGAAGTTTGGTCGTGAGAGATAGAAACTTGGGAGTAGAGGATGAACGACCGACGATCCATAACTAAAGTGCTGGATATCTTATCCGAATGTTCGATAGAATCAAAATGGAACGAGACTAAAAATGACAATCTCGCTAATAATAGCGCGTTACAAGCACGGACGTTTCACTACTCAGAGAACTAGAACCATCTTTGTGAACAGCTATTTTTCTTGTTTCTATTCAAGAAGCTACCTAATGGAATGCCTGGTATATGGAGGGATCGACCACTTAGGTGCCCAATATTTCCCCCGATTCCCCAAATCAAGATCAGAATTGAAGGGTGAATTTCTCTTCGCATAAACCAAATCCCTAAACTCCGTGAGGCTTTCCTTAAGGCTGGCTTCCGTGCCCACTAATAAATAGTACGATGATCACATGTCCGGACTACATGGCCCAACTGTCATGGCCCCATCAACGATGAAGTTGGTACCATTGACCCAACTCGAACCCGGGCTGCATAGGAAGAGAACCACGTCTGCAATCTCCTCCGGGAGCCCCATACGCCCCATTGGTAAGTGGGACTCGATGGTCTTTTCTAACGATGGGAGGCTCTTGACGGCAGTTTGCACCACAGGAGTATCCACCCATGACGGCGAGACGCAGTTGACGCGAATGTTGTGTTTAATGTTGTCGAGAGCTACGAAGATAGTCAGCAAACAGGGTTTCTCGATATGGGGACTGGAGAATGCAATGGCGGTCACCTACCCGCAGTCTTGGTTAAACCGATTACCGCGTGTTTCGAGGCAACGCATTGCACTATTTTCGGTAGACCGATTATGCCAACTACTGAGCTAATGTTGACAATAACCCCACGGGAGACACCCCGCGCTGGGAGCGATTCGTCGATCACCACGGGTTTTTGGGACGCCATGACTTTCGTGGCCGCTTTTAATACTAGGAATGATCCTTGTACGTTGACTTCGAAGGTCCTCCGCAGCGTGTCAAGGCCAGTCTCTGATACCTCGTTATACTCTCCAAGAACCTAAGCACGGGGGCATATGTTGTTAGCAGCTGAGAATCGCAAGTAGTAGCGTTAAGCCGTAGAAACGTACAGCAGCTCCATTTATAACGTAGTCAATGCGCCCGAATGTGTCGGCCATGCGGTCGATGGCATTTTGGACAGATTCTGGATGTGCCACATCGAGCTGGTATGCTTCTACACGGAACTCTGGATTTATGGCGACTGCTTTGCTCTCTGCGGCGGTCTTGATCGCGAGCTCGAGGTTGATATCCGCTATCACTAGTCCACGTACCCCGCGCCTTGCAAACGCCACGCAGATCGCCTTCGATATTCCGCTACCTATTTACAGTTAGACACATAAAGGAAGCTCTCCCAAAGGGATGGTTCTCACCTCCGCCAGTAACGAAAGCGTTTCCTGTAAACTCTTGTCCGGCCATATTGGATGTGTTAAAGTCAGCTGGTTATAGTGTAAGGAGTTAGTTGATTGCTGTTGGGTATATAGTGTTCGAAGCGATTCTAGTGTTATAATGAAGATGAAAGGAGTGAGAGGGCTATGTAAGACGAGGGTGGACGTAGATATATATACACGTGGATGGTTCCGATACAGGCATTTGTAAACTTGCCCCTTGAAGTATGTATTGCTTATTACCCTAGTACGCCTATGTATAGATAGAAAAGCTATAGTCTTTAGGGTGGCGCCACTTACACAGCCTAGGCAACCAAGCGCGAGGTGGGATAGCTATGTACATATCGGGTTCATTCGAACTAACTGCACCAATACACGTTAGAAACTGGTTGAATGAGAGTGTTCGGACCATTTTCCATTAGAGCGTATGCCATATTAAGCAACCATCGACTTAAATTGACTTAAATTGAGGGGAGTACCACGGATAGATCGCTGTTTGCTACGATAGCATAGCTATTATTACATATTACAATGCCTACTACTAGGTTGATCTCATCACAGTAGCCTTTTCCCAAATATTTCCAATAATGACACTGCCAATGTGATACGAAATGCGACACAACAAGCTATATCCTATGGCCGACTGATCCCTATCGGGTTGGCTTATACTTGGCAATGTCTAGCAGATACCGAACATTATCACGCCGGCAGGGTCCCACAAACGTCTCCACAGCCACGTTTCTACTCCCTGGCAGAGTCATGTACCAACCTGGTTTATATGCGGTGTCGACATTGCCGCAGAGGGTTATTCGCAGATTGTCGATCTCCGCTTACTTGAAGTTCCCAAGTTGAAGTTGAGGATCGTATGGTATGTGCCAGCCGCTTACTAAACTTGTCCATGTATTGCTATCGTTGAATGTTGGGGCTCTCAACTCCAAGTAAGGTAGAGGTAGTTAAAATATTTCTCGGTCGTAGGGTTCGGAGTTTCTCGAAAGTTCTTGGCGGCTTATAGTTTGTCTCTCTGAGCTATTATCAAGCCGTCCAGTTCAACCTCTTGATGTCTCGACGCGTTTTCCTTCAAGCTATCCCGCACTTTGCTAAAGCTCCCCCGTAGCTAGGTAGTCGTAGCTTGCGTACCTATGCATGTACATACGATGCCAATAATGAACGCGAGGCTGATGCCCAACCAGGTAACAAGGGTTCCTGGCCTATACATACGCTCCTCGTAGTATAATATCGTGCCCAACTCCCCGGCGCCACATGGTTTACATAGGAAGTCAATCTGTGGGGGGGCACGTGGCTTGACTCCCGTCTTGGCAACCTTGCATACATACATAGAGAATGGAGATAATGTCGTTGAATCTGGTAGAAATTTAATAGTTGATTACGCTAATCTCGACTTGCTAATTCAAGTCACGATTCCACCGCAGGGCTTCAGGAATGAGAGCCAACAGAGAAGTATGTATTCGGACTAGTTTACCAGTCCGACCCCGTTCGTTTTCGTAACCTGAGTGGATACGATTATTTTGAGCATATTCAGATCCACATATAAGACCTTGCAACTTGGATATCTGGTCCTAGCTCGGTACCCTCATTATCACATTATCAGCCCCCTCTCGTAACTAAGCCCCTATCGATCTCTTGGTAACGCTTCGGGAATGCTTCTGCATACCTGGCGGCTGAACCTGTTGTTAGTTCAGAGCTGTCAAAATAGGGGTTGGCTTGTAAGTTTCAAGACCGAATTTGGGTCCAAATTTTATCAGCTCAAGGGTTAAGAATCGAACATCAGCCGAGGGTCGTTGGATCGTATCGAGCTGGAATTACATACCGACGACGTCGGATTTAACAGCTAATGGGAACATCTCCATCACATGCTGGGTCCCGTCCACGTGAAGAATATCCCGGGGCATACAGGATCCTCCAAATACCCCGCGGGCAGAACAAAAAGGGAAGAAAAAATTAGGACACGGGCAGATGTAAGAAAGATTCATGCCGATTGAAAACAAGTCCTTGGGAAATTACAAGATCATGCCGAGGTCTTCTTACAAATGTCTAACTTAGTTCAACTTAGTCTGGTTATTGTTATATGCTAGCTATATTTTCGTAATATGTGTATGCGGTTGGAGAACGCCTAAACTCGATGCTTTGTACAATACATGGTGTACATAGCTAACCCTATTCATCCCCAGGGTTTCATTGCAATACCCCGACCAGCTGAAAGGAGTAGGGACCATGAACATGGTATGTAGCATTCGCAGCCGACTTGCAGGCCGGCCCGTTGAAGCTAGCTAATGGACCATATTTGCCTCCCCTGCAATGCATCGTGTTAGGTAAACCATTTTCCTGTTAGGTTATTTCACGCTGCAGCATCACATTGGAAATGTCAAGTGATATGGAGTCCTGACCTAGGTATCCCAGATATTCACACCTGCGAACAGCATCGATTCGCGATTAGCGCGCACATTCGTTTCCGCCTTCCCGCCTGGGTTAGCGACTCGCTACCCTTTCGTTGGGACGATACGTATTGCTCTCGGCGCTATATACAGAGATCTCCTACGGGCCTATCCAAGACGTCGCAAATATCTGACATGCATGCATGTGAGCTATGTACCAGGATGTCGTACTCACCGCTCTGCTACGTAATGTTTCCAGGTGAGAGAAACGGGTATGCGGCTTGGTTCCGAGACCATCCGAAACATTTATTCCCCGGTCTGCTCACGGGCCGACCATTTATTGCATTCGGGCTCGCGCTGCTGGAGTGGGCGCTGGGGTCTTTACAGAGATATCGGGTAGGGGTTACAAACAATAATTTAACAACCAACACACCAACATTTAGCGGCAAGTTCACCAGTTTCCGGGGACAGCCTCTTCGGGGGCGGCCCGATAGGTGTCTAGTCAGAGCTAATGCCTTTTGTTTATGTACATTTATATTAAAGTGGATTATCTCGAGAAGAAGTAATTTGTTAACATCCGTATAGTACATAGCAACACCACGAATCGCCACTACCATGACAAATACAACAATACCGAACAGCTTACGTTACGCTAATATGGGCTCTACGAAGGGGTTATTGCCAAGCTTGTCTAGTTACATGCTCTTCATTCCGAGGTTCATGGTATAGCAGAGCAACGTCGCGGTGATAATAGATGGGCATCTGTAAGAATGTTTCGGAGGTATAATCTCGAAATGGCTAGCTAAAATCCGTCGGCCAATTTATACAATTAAAAACTACGCTATTGAGCGAATTATGCAACCCGCACTTGAAGCTGTCAAAGGCCATGTGCCAATAAGTTTGACTAGCGGCTTGATGTCTGCTACCCCCCTATAGGTAAAGATTGACAACTAGGTTAGGTAGTTATTGTACTTTACAGGAACTCGGCCGACGACTCTCTCCCCCCCGAAACATAAGTACATAGGGCAGGGAATTTGATAGTGTTGAGGTATTTAGGAATTGGTTGGAAATCCTAGATATTGCAGTAGATACATACGACATCTAGTTTAGGTCGGTCCATGGTCGAGGGTAACTAGTGAAATACATACACTATCTTACATACGAGGTAGTTAGGTAGCTATTAAGGTATCCGTAAGGTTCTCGCCCGGCGAAAATACCCCCCTGACCCCTTTTATCGCGCTGATCCTGGGTACCACCGTATGTTCTAGGGCACTTTCATCATTTTACCCATCTTGCAGCCGTTTCGCAAATCTTTTATGATATTTACGTCATATCCAAGCGGCACTAAAACTCTTGGTATTGTGATCAAAACTGGGAGATAAATGTATGCGCGTACTTGAGAGGCCAATCACCGTAAAGATGTTTAGTTGCATTATCATACACCCAATACTTCACGCAAGCGCAGAGCGTCTAGGCTAGGTCAAAGCGAAGAAGGCACTCTAAGAATCGTTATAGAATTTTCTGTCAATATACCTATTACGATCTAGGCAGTCGGATCTAAAATTAACTTGTTGTAGTATTAGGGCGGAAAAATCCGCTCGGTCCAAACCAGGTACCCCTTACATAGTAATTCCAGTAGGCATATGGCTACGAGCTGGTTAGTGAGAGTACTTCTAAGTTGGGGACCCCTGGGTAACTTACGAAGAAGTCTTTCTTTAAATGGTAGAATAACCGACTAGGCTGCTCCTGGCCACCGAGTATATTTGCAAAGGTCTCCTTGGGCACACCGCCGTACTTGAACTCGCAGAGCATAAGCTCGTTGTGGCCGGTCAATAAGGGGCAACTTGCGTAGCCGTCATACGACGCCTTGAGTTCCTTGCCTTTCATGACCGCCAAAAGGTTGTCTATTAGAACAGGCGTTTGCGACGTGATAGCAGCAGCGGTTTTGCTGTTTGGAAGACTCGACGCATCGCCAAGAGAGAAAACGTTCTTGTACTTGGTATGTTGCGTAGTGGACTTATCCACATCAACCCAACCCGCAGCATCCGCTATGAGAAGAATTAGCTATCTTTGACATAACACTCATCATAATGAGAGTTTCTTGTGGAATACTTACCTAGTTGAGATTTGGCAACCCAGTCCCACGGCTTTTGAGGAGGTACCACATCTATTAACACTTGAGTTAGCAATTATTATAATTATACTAACTTACGTAGGTATCCTTAAAGATCAGAAATATGCAGAGGCATATTTAGTGCAAAAAGGGGTCAGAGACCCAGGGGGTTGAAGAAAGCTTACGCAGAAAGCCGAACTCTCTCTCGACAAGTGCCCCGTTGGTACCCTCCGCCAAGTTCTTAAATGTTGCTACCTTGTTCTTCGGGTCTACTTTAACTAGGTTATGTTGGAAAAGGCCTTCGACGTTGCGCTCCTTGCGCAGATCTTCAAGCGCTTGTGAGTACTTCGGGACGGCAAACATGACTAAGTAATGTTAATATATGTCAGTTGATTTGACGGGACACGTTAGTCGTCTTACCAGGAGCACCGGTTGCGAAGGTAATGTTGATATTATCTCGTACGCCGTCCCGTTTCCACTGCGAATAAGCCATCCACATAATCTTCTGAGGAGCACCCGCGCATTTGATAACACCAGCAGGCTGCGTGAAAATAGCTGGCCCTTTCTTGAAAGTTTGTATGTTCTTCCATACCTGCTCCACCGTCTTCTCCGAGTATATAGATGATACCTGACTAGTAGGATCCCGCAGAGCTTGCTCGAGACCTGATACACCAGCAAAGTTTGTCTCTAGGCCCGGGGCTACTATTAGATAGTCGTATGACACATCAACTCCTTCCGATGTTTTGATTGCGTTGTTTGCTGGGTTAAACGTGGACACTTGTAAAGGATAATGTTTCACGCCTTGCGGAATTACTTCAGACATAGGCCGGTGCATGCCTGCAAGGGGTTTTAACCCAGAACCAACAAGTGTCCATCCTGGCTATTTCGATGTTAGTAACTCAATATAATAGGAACGAAGACTATTTACCTGGTAGTGGTGGGTCTGTGCAGGGTCTAAGATGGCGATGTCCTTATTCTCAAGATCCGTGCTGCGTTGCAACTGGGCAGCAACAGTAATTCCAGCTGTGCCTCCGCCAACAATAACCACACGATGGTGGGCCTTGGATGGTATCGAGGTTGCGTAGGTTCTCGCAACCCTCCTAACCGAGACGCGAGCAAGTGGACGAAGTACACCGACTCCAGCCATTTTTTGAGTATTATATCCGGATAAAGCTTTGATTGGGCAAGAGGAAACTGAGATATATACCACTCCGAAACTGCACGCTGATTATCAGCAAGTTTTGTTTATTAGTCTGGTAAATAGGAAGAAATGGAGGTCACGTGAAAGCACGCAATACTAGTCTCAGTCTTATTTATTTCCTATTTGCTTTGGTGCGACCAATCAGGTTTGCCGTTTAAGCAAATATAGAACCACAATTGTATGGATCCGCCAACTTCATCTCGGAATTAGATACGATATCCTTCTAAGTCGCAAGTTAGCCGAATATCGATATATTGATATATAGGTCAAACAAGAATAGGTTTAAATGCTAGTTACCAGAATTATTTATGTTGAGGACGAGTATCGAAGTTAAATGAGGGAGGAAAGAAATGAAGGAACACGGCGGGCCGAATAATTCTTCTTGTTTTAAAGTTGGGTGAAACTTAATAACTTAATATATTACCGGCACGGCTCTCGGGTAAGGCTCTGAGTAGTATAGCAATTGACTTTGATATCCGGGAAAGATGCTTTGCTGTTTATAAATCATAAACTTGGCGTAACTATAGATATGTCTCTTAGTTATATACGTGCTGCTGTCCCAATTGACAACTGGCTGCTAAGCAAACGTCTTTACATCGAGTCACATTGGTGCAAACATAGGATATCTTTCCTTGTAGAGTAAATACCAATACTCAGCTAAACTTTACTATCTAGGTAGTATATCACTTTGTAGCCCCTTTACGTTATCAGAACCAGTGTTATGTCACTCATAGAAACTTGCTACGTACTACCTTCATGTCAAACTGGCGTTTCTACTAATCTTGAAACATTTATTCAAAAATTTTAAGATAGTCAAATAAGATGCTGAGTACATGATCTCTTTTGAATAACTCACCATGTAGTAATACGGTACGGCGGTCTTTGCTGACTTAGCCCGGATCGTTTTCGCCGCGATATTGTTTTCTCGGTTCAATCAATCTGGTTGGCTGATTAATATTAGGACTGATATTCAATTCTAGCTGAAGAGATATATAGGTATATTCCCACTTCTAGTAGAGTATATCTAACTAATCATATAAAGAAAAGAAAAGACCTATCTAGGGTTATTACCGCCATCTTTACATGCTATTGCGTTGCTCGCGTACTGACACTTTGGCAGTAAGAATCACAGGTTGGCTACCTATATAATTAATTAAAAGCTGACAATACGGCATCGCATCACATTCTTAAATTATTATTATTTACGACGGTAAACCGTTCGTCAACCCCCTCAAATCCTCGAGCATTCAACCACGTTCAGTTTCTAGCCCCCTTTTCGCGCGAGCCGGCCCGTGCCGGACGAGGCTAGCCGAGAGTACGACACGGACTGGGACGGAACCGGAGACGCGTCGCGTCATCTTTGGCGATCATTCCACTAGAGAGTACGGCTACCCCTCACCCGGCGGCTTTCTCGTCTTGCCGCACTGCAACGGCGTCGACCTCTTGTTCTTACAATTGTCTCGCTTTGACTCCGCCGGGTGCTCTGAAGATCCTGCAGCTGAGGATCGACATTGCGCCCACATGGGAATTCTTGGCGCGTGGTGGTCCACGAGTGCCGACGAGTACAAGGCTATGCGGTGGTTGAGCCCGGAAAAGGTGTGGTAGACGACGACGGTAGCTGCGGCGTGGCCCGAGAGCGGGGTAGGCGTGTGGGTGGCGGTGGTGTGTGAAAGCGATGTGGTGAAGAAGTTAGGTGGGAGATTTTACTACAATCCGGCGGAGTGAACGGATTTAGAGCTTCAAGACTATTCTAGCAGTACGGTTAGAAATTGTAACTATGATTTTCAATTATTATTATTGGTTGATGTGATTTGGTTAAAATTCAGGGGAAATCTTTTTCTATACCAGTATATTTAGGTACCTAAGTATTTCTATGTTACTTACATGTATTTTACGAATTTTGACAAGGCTACCTATCTTATACTTCATACATACCTTGCATGTGCATATGTAGGACTTTCGACCTCGAACATTATCAGATTCGCTTATATTCCCAAGCTCGTTGGTCCACGTCATTGATGCCCGACACTCAGCCTCATTCTCCCCTGAACACTGCCCTTCTGATGATAGACAACTTTTAAGTATTGAGAATAGTTAGCATCAGCATCATAACGAGTAAAACTCAGGTTTGCTTTCATAATGGCAGCGCCAGCGGAGAAGACTAAAGTATATCGACTTCGTAATTTACCTGGTCATGTGGATAGACAGTCTGCTGCCGAGCTCGTCTCGGCATTTATCGAAGGAGCCTTACCTCAAGATATCCGCATCTCCTCGTTGGCTTATGCAGTCGATCCATGGGAACGGCCGCCCACCAAGACGGCGACCTTGACATTCGAAAAAGGTGACCCTACAAGTCTCTTTAACTCTAATAATGGCGAATGGATATTCATGAATCCCGCCCTGGCAAAACCTCTCATTCTTGATAGCCATTTTCGTGGTCTCACCCCGCTCAATGAAATAGCCCCTGAGAACCATCAATACGAGTATGTTGCTATCTGAAGAGTACCTTCTCTGCAACTACTAATCTGATCGTATAGCTGCATCGCTATTTCTGGCCTTGCAAGTCACCCCTTTGGCTCGTGGCAACCCCATGGGAGAGATAAATCTTTCATGTGGATCCGGGATGAATTGCCTCAGTTTCTCCCAACAGTGCGATTTATTCTTTACGGCTATGATACGATTCTCCGTCCGAGCACATCTTTTCAGAGGGTCTCGGATCTCGCGAACTCATTCATTGATGTCTTACAAGCAGGTGGATGGACCTCGCCAACAGCGAAACCGCTCTTGTTTCTGGCTCATAGCCTTGGCGGTGTTATTTTGAAGCAGACATTGTTAATGCTTGCTGGAGCTGGACAGCAGCAGGCGTCTATCACCAATTTAATTCAGGGAGCTATCTTTTTTGGCGTACCGAGTCAGGGTATGGCTATAGATGATATCTTCAGAATGCTCGGAGACCAACCGAATAAAGACGCCCTTGTTACCGAGATCTCAAATGAGTCAAACTACCTCTCGCAGCTTGAGAAGCAGTTTTCGGGGATTTCTTTTGTGCGAACATTGAAAATATTTTGGGCGTATGAAACCAAACTGACGCCGACTGTCGCAGTATGTCGGGTAGATACCCAATTGGTTCAAGTTTCAGGCCATGCTAACTTTTATATATTAGTCTTCCAACAATGTCAGTTCTAGCAGATCAGGACCAGAAACGGTGCTAGTAACTCGAAGATCTGCTACGGGAGGACGTTGTTATGAAGATCCTTCGCTAACGATTCAGATTGACGAAAACCATTCTGACATTGTGAAATTCACCCGTGGCGACCATAGAATCCGCATACTTGTGAATAGGCTAGCAAACATATGTGGAATATGCCCAGTCTTTGATCGTTTAGACTTAGGGATTGTCCCCAGTAGTGTTTCGACTGACAGCAGAGGTATTCCCGATGATCACACATGGAGTATACATGATCAGCAATTGGTCGTAAATGGTATTGAAAATCGGGTATGGATTCAAGACCCCGTTGTGTGGGATAATCAAGGTATGGATACATTGATATATATACAAGCTATGCTATTAACACTTATGTTATAGTCGTTTTAAGGTCTTTATGCGCGCCGGAGCGTGATTTGCGTATGCAGCAAATCGACCCTGCTGCTACTTACACTTTCGATTGGGTATACGACGATATTTCTATTGGTATATCTGAATGGCTGCAGAGAGGAGAGGGAATTTTTTGGATTAGCGGCAAACCAGGGTCCGGGAAGTCTACGATGATGAAGTTCATTCATAATGATCAGAGAACTTCCGAGCTTCTACACAAGTGGAATTCTAAAGCTCGACAAATCATGCCTACCTTTTTTTTCCATCATCGTGGCAACCATATTCAAAGGTCCTTTGAGGGACTTCTACGAAGCATCATCAGTCAGATTCTGGAAGCAGAAGAGACGATTTTTGAGGTAATTCGATCAGCATTCGATGAGGAGTACCTCAAGCGAATAAAGACGAAAGGACTTGGAAGCCTACAATCCGATATCCTTCAATTAACGAAACAGTGCGATATAACCGAGAATGCATTACTGGCCCAGGATATCGAAACAATTATACGAAGCTTAGACCTTTGTCCGTTTCTACCTCAGGCCAATCCCGTTGATCTAGAAGCTGAGATTTACAGATTAATTCTGAAATATAGTGATCAGCCTAATAATCACAGCAGAATATCTGATAATCGTCGGCTAGAGCTGGGTGTTGAAAATCAACGAAGCCTAGGGGAAGGGGTACAACAGCAATCATCAAACAAAGCTAGAAATAGTATTATCAAAGCTATTGTGGAGCGTCACGAATCACGCATAGATATCCAAAACAAGATTCAGAACGAGGAATGGACCAAGTCAAGGCTAGAAGATATCCTTCTTCGGATATGTTCTCAAACATTGCTCGACTTAGATCTCTTTTTTCTTCTAGATGCCTTGGATGAATATGACGGGCGTCCTGAATTTATTTCAGGATTTCTCAAAGACCTTGCCAAGGACGCGAGTTACCCAAGAACTAAGGTTAGAGTTTTATTCTCAAGCCGGCACTGGGATGTATTTCAAAGGGAGTTCGACCCTTCTCTAGGATTTAGAATCCACGAACATACCAAGGGCGATATTCGCAATTATTGCATCTCGTCTATATGCAATACTTTTCAGGCACCTGGATGCCTGATTTCATTTGTCGAAGAGATTGTAACTCGTTCTCGTGGGGTTTTCCTTTGGGTGAAGCTCGTCCTACACGATCTTTTCCGGATTATGAGAGAGCACAACCACACAAGACATTCAGCAGAGAACAGTTTACGCATGGCCCTCGATTCCATGCCAGATGAACTCGAGGAATATTATACAGCTATTATTGAAAGAATCCCACCAGCAGTTCGGTGGGACACCTATGTTGTCCTAGAATGCCTAGCTAGAAGAACTGGAAACGCTCTCACAGTGAGCGAGCTCTACATGATTGCGGCATGTTCCACAGCTAAGACACGCCTCAGTAATGACCAATGGAAACAAATCAAGGAATCTAGTCGTGGTACCCAGGCTAAACAGTTTGTTAGGAACGTCTCTGGCGGATTGGTGGATATCTTTCGTTCCGGCGTTGTTCAGCTTATGCATCAAACTGTCAAGGATTTCATTGAGAAATCACAGTTTCGACACTTGGTACTTGGGCACAATCGTGCAAGCATAACAGAGGATAACGGCCACTCGTTCCTAGCAAAGTATTTATTCTTATTATGCTACGATGGTTACGCTGGCACCACAAGCATCAATATTATGAAAGATTTTGCTTTCCACGCTCGTGAAACCGAAAGAACAATGGGTGTAAGTCAATATACATTCTTTGCCCATGCCTCGGTCAACGATCCATCCATCCCAATGTATTATCACCTGCATTTAGCTGTGTTCGCCGGCCTCCAACTCTGCCTAGAGGATGTGCACAAGGCGGAGAGTAGCGCGTTCACAAACTCGAGCACACTTATCACGAGCGTCATGGAAAGCATGGATAATGCAACATCTTACGATCGTAGGAAAATAGTACAGTCTCTTCTCTCAAAGGGGTTCATCATCGAGAAAGATCCGCATGGCCTTGGCCTGCTTTTTTGTAAGATATGGAGCGGAGCAATTCGCGATCCCGGATGGCAATACCACGGGCCGCACTACCACGGGCCGCACGGTGAGCCAGATCAAGACTGCAGCAACATAGCCAGTGACATAGTAAGCCAACTAAAAGACACCGAAATCCTAATCGACTGGAACAGTGCTTCTGCGGCGGAACACCTGAACTTGGCTGGGTTTTGTTCCGGCACAATTTTACACCTGAGCCCTCCTAATATTGCCGCCAAATTGCTGGAGCAAGGAGCAAACCCTAATGCCCAGGACGCTTGGGGTCGATCGCCATTAGATTATATTCTATTTCATGGGACGATACATCTTCCAGACCCCGGATATCTTCACGGGTTATCGTTGCTATTGATCAAATATGGCGGTCTATTACGAACTACGACAAATACGGAGTGGAACATGCACCTCCATCATCTGGAAAAAAACGGGTTTAGCACAGAGGTTTTCGAGGATTACGGCTTTCCTGCTTGGGACCATACAAAGCCGAGATACTTACAACGCCAGAGTAATGGCGAAAGCTCCCAAGGATTAGACAGGAAGCATGATACCAAGTCATGGCTGCCCCGAAGCTCCCCACCCCGAAACCGTCGTGATTATGGGCCACCCCAAGCAAAGGCGCGGCGAGCCACCACCACACGAAAACGACATCGGCGACAAGGTTAAGCTAGAGCTATAAGAATCCTAAAGCTAAATTTCTCGGGGGTCTAATGTATAATATTCATCTTTCAGGGTATATTGGTCACTCTTTTCTTACTCTCCTTGCAAATCAAACGTACAGGTTAATTATCAAATTTGATACTTCCCTAGACAGCACGAACGGGGGCACAAGTTATATAGAATTTGCTATATTATGATATTTATCTACTTACTGGAACTGAGCGAAGAGGAAGAAATCTACTTAAAGTATAGTGGGCTGGCACAGTGTAGTCTCAGGGGTATCAGGAGATTATTGTCGAGATTCATACAGCCTAGGCCACTCGGACTTTTATTTACGTTAATCAAGATGCATGAAACGAGATACGATTCAGATGATGACTTTAATAGAGAGTTGTGCTATTTGCATATTGGTCTATTAACCCTTTCAACCAAAATTTCAGAATACTAACATGCTCCCTACCCCTAACTTTACTACATGTACAATAAAAGACAAGGCTTCTTTCTTAGAAGTAATTAACCGAAATTTGTACTTATACTCTCTAGATCTAGGAGACGTCAAGTGAATTCTAGCCAAACTACAAGCCCATATTCAAAGGCTTCTAGAAAATGTAGTCGACCCCATGTTGAAATTATTCCTAAACCAAGCCACTCATAACACCGCCAAAACGGTAGCAATTAGCTAAATGAATCAATTAGGACCACACCCTGATATCACAGAAGCAGTGAATCTAATAATAAAGTTAAACGCCTAGTTACCAGTCGATACCAACTTTGCCGCGTCTACCTAAGACAACATCCTGCTGTGTCTCTTCGCGACCTAAAACGCCCCGACTGTACTACTCTTACATCATGAAGCTACGACTATGCACCCATAGACAATACGAAAATGCTAGGATGTAGCCTTTCTAGTCTGCCGGAAAGGTGATTATAGAACAAAACTGCTTTTAAGAAGCACGTGCCATCATACCTGCATATCGAGACCTTAAACCGTAGCAACCTCACATCCTGCTGTAAGGGACAATTGCAGCGTCAATAATAGGGGGTCTACGGTGAGCCATGGTTGACTCGGGGCCCCATTTCGATTTCCAAGAACTCTCCCTATCTCGTGCCTTCTCAAAAGCCTCTCGGCATTCAGCTGGCAATTCTTCCAAGACGTCTTTCGGTACGGCTCCAAGCCCTTGGAAGTCGGCTAGGAAGGCTGGTATATCACGCTGCTCATATACAGCAGACGGGAGGGTGGCAGGGGGTGTCTCCATGTACGCGTCGATAACCTTGAAATTACGAGGAATCTTCGGGTCTAACGGTGGAAAGCGAACGCTGCTAGTCGGGGCAGAAGAATCTGCAACCTGCTCAATTTTCGCATGCGTAGGTTGCATAATGGCGGGATACTGCAACATATTTGTGTGAACATCGTAGACACCGGATAGATTCATGCGTCGAATGGCGCCTATTTCAGAATTAAAACGGCTAGAAAACCAGTTAATAATTTTGAATGATCCCCAAGTGCTAATGAATATAATGATAACGTACCTCGCCTCACGGGCATGCTCAAATTGCCAGTTGACATCTGTAACATTCACACGCCTCTTTTTAATATCTACTTTGCCGTTTTGAGTGGGAACAGAGGGAGCCCCTGAGTGGTAAACAGCGCTGGCACCGTGCCAAGCGACATACTGGTTCTTGTTGTATTCCTCGCCCTCGACGAACTTGTCGTTAGGGTCCGCAAGCTCGCCCTCCACGATGCCTTCGGCTCTGGCCTTGGCAACTTCGTAATCGTCAACGATTCGCTTTCCACCGACAATAATCAACGCGCCAAACTCCCGGAATACCGAACGGGCCGTGACGATTCCTATCGCACGGCCCTTGTAGGAATGGGGGATAATATCGCGGTCGATCATGTCCCGTTTCTCGTCTTCATCCACAATGATCTTGTAGAGTCGCTTGTGTTTGGTGAAGAACAAGTAAGAGTCTCTGAATCCCACACAACGGGCGGGCTCGGTGGACAACATATAAAGGCGATCTCCCCGGCCCGCAACAGTGAACGTTCGGCAACGGTACTCGCGTCCTCCTTGTAAGTTTCCCATTTTGTCTACTTTGGTCTCTCCTTCGGGGTCTTCGGGTAATGCGACCTCATCATCGACAATATCCATCATGTTGCCCTCTTTGTCGATCGTTTGCTGCGTCGGTTGATAAGAGGCTCCCTTCCGGCCACCTCTACCTCTCCATCCGCCACGACCGCGGCGCCTGGGAGGGTCATTTGGATCGCGCTGGGGGGTCTCGATCGGTAGGGTATCCCAGTCCGGCGGTCGGTTTTTAGGAGGACGACCTAGACGTCTCCTCCTAATAACTGGCTGAGGTGGAGGGGAAGGCGATTTCACGGATGGTCCATCGGAGTCTTGGTTTTCCTCTGGCTCTGCACCAGACTCATCTTCGTTTTCAAGTTCCTCGGGTTCTGCTTGCTGTTCTCCATCTGATGCGTCGGCATCTGGCATTACTTCATCTTCGATCTCCTCGAAGGCTCTCGGGGTACTCTCTGCGCCATTAATACTAAAGTTAGATATAGATATATTGGAGAAATAACCATCGAATTCGGGGGATTGAGAAGATGCGAAAGTGGGAGCCAAATTTAGATGGCGCGCGCGACAAGAGAAGGAAATTCAAAATTGTAGCGACTTACCAAGTTTTGCGGCGGCACGCTTAGCGGCTGCGCGACCGGGTCGCCGAGGCATAATTAGGGCTGTGATATAGCAATGCGCATAAAGGGACTAACAAAAAAAAAAGTGGTGGACCGGAGTGAGCAGACTGCGACGGGTTGATGATAGAGGGTCACTTGAATGCTAATAAGATGGAGAGGCTCAATTGACGAAATGTTGGAAAACGCGGCGCTTACACACTAACGCGATTTAAGCTCCCTTAGATCAGGTACCTACGTACCTACGTCCAAGCCCTTGCAGCTGCCTTTGCTAAGTCAAATCCACCAATCACATGACAAAGGTATTGATTATGTAAGGTCATACAACTTATCTTATACAAGGTACTTGAAGGCATCAAGAGGTCACTTCCATTTAAATATCCAAAAATAAAGTCATATGTATAGGTACCTAGGCAAGTTCTGAATTATAAACTACGATGATCATTTCAGCTTCATATAGTATTCTAGTAAGAAGATTGCAGGCCAAAAGATACGGATAAAAAACTCTCCTTTCGTTGCTTTTCCTTTATGCAAACTCCGATTAGCTCACTCCAGATAGGCTAGGTGCTTACCTTACATTCATACACTTCTTGTCAATTTCTAAATGGATTCATCGTACTTCCTGCTTTTATACATAAAATGAGAAGAGCTGGTATGCTAGAGAAACATGGTAACCTAGGGCATGTTGTTGGGGTTCACCTGAGATCGACCAAAACGGCTAGACTTACAATCCTTTGGGTATTATACGTGATCTAATCTGAAATATATTTATAATCTTTCATATAATACCCGAGTTAATTATCCTCTTGTTATTCGTATAGTCATAAGTCGAATACGTGGTTGTAAGTTGAATATTTCCTACCCTAGTGAATCGTAATTTGTCTTTTAAATCTACCTAAGGAGAGAGTATCACCCTAAAAAGGGAACAGCTCTTTAGGAAAGTGAAGGTAGTGCTAGGTTGCGCCTCGCCCCTAAGATAAACTGTAGTCTTTTTAAAGTTTAATTCCGCTAATCATATAACAGCGGGACAGCTCCGCCATGTACTCCGCCGTGTATTACCCCTATTCGTGTAAATAGAGGGACACTAGTCCCCCTATCATCGAGCATAATAGAGTTAGCATTGACTTTGGTCTTCGTGCTAAAGCATACGAGCTGCATAGTAAGAGTGAGTTCTCGCCGAATGAAATTTACGGTAATAATAAAGTTCTACTATGATAAATCCTAGAATCCTTCCACTCGGTAGTTACAACGTTCAGGTGAAATACTCTTCAACATTCCTACCTACATTAACACCTCAATGAGCATTCCCTTTCCCTCCTTAGCCACCCTTAAGCTCGCACTTTGAAGTGCCTTCTTAAACTCACCTACTGTTCTAACTCTCAAACCCTTCATCCACGTGTCCGTATTTTCTGCCGCATTATCCCAGCCAACTTCCGACCCTGCTGCCGCTTCTGCTAGAGCAGCATAATTGGGTGTCGGACGGAAAGAAACGTTGACTTCCTCGTCTGTTGCTGAGGTAATAAGGCCATTAGGATAGACAAGTTCCGTAGAGTTCCGGGGAGCTTTCCAACCTTGAGTAAGAAGTGTGTCAGTCTAGTCAGAACCCAAGGCTAAATCAATGTGTATATTCGTCCGGAGTGAGGATAGGGCTTAATCACACGACATAACTTACCTCCGTTGTTCAAGACGATTGTTAGGATAGGGATCTTGTACTTGCTCCCTACCCACAGCGCAGTAGATGGCGCCGCGCACATAAAACTCCCATCGCCAACTAGTTGACACACAAGGCTCGGTTTCTCTGCTCCCTCCTTCTCTAGGTCTGCCAATGCCATTTTAACACCTAACGCTGCACCGTTACTCCAGCCGATACCTGTTCCGCCGCAATTGATCCAGCTTCCCGGTCGACTGGGCTGTACTTGGTCATATAGTAACTGACCAGCCGTAACTGCTTCGACAACATATGTCGTAGAGTCTGGAAGGGATGACTTCAGGAGACTACCGATGTTGTGTCCATTCAGCATTTCTTGATCGCCTAAGCGCGGTTGAGAAGCGATACTCGCTAGACGAGCCTTATGAGCTTCTACGCGAGCCTTTCCGCGAGCTACATACTTCGGGTCTCGTAGTGTTTCTGTAAGTGAAGAATCATTATTGATATGGTCGACCAATTGTTTGAGCACTGTGAAACTATCTGCTTTCCAGCGTCCGTGTGCAGGGAAGAAAGAAACGGGGATTTGTTGGTTTAGGGGGTCGCTGTCTACGTGGTATATCTTAGCGTCCTTTGGGGGTGGGTTACGGGATGGGATCCAGGGGACGTCGCAGTCAAGTAGGAAGATCACGTCTGCATCTTTGGTACAGTCATCAGAACTAAGACGGAAACCTTCCGAAGCAACATGGTTGAAAGGAAAGCACACGTCGCTGCCACCCGTATCATGGACGCGTATACCGGGGATGAGGTCTGCCAGAGCAACGAGAAGTTCCGGCGTCCGGCGATCACGGCCGGAGTATCCCGTGATAATGAGCGGGCGCTCGGCTTGGACGAGGGCCGTAGAGATATTATGGATAGCATCGGCTGGAAGCGCGCTTGGACCGATCGGTACCCACTGCGCTTGATCTAATGAAGTTGGTGGGATTTCTTGAGCCAAAACCTCCCTTGCGCTGGCGATATAAACGGGACCCTTGGGTGTGCTACTCGCGAATTGAAGCGCGCGTCCAATGGTTTGTTTAATATTTAACCCGGTGCGAACTTCGCCAGTATACCTACAATACTGCCGTACGATAGCTTTTTGATCCGGAGCTTCCTGCAGCCAGTGCATGTATTCCGTTCGAGAGCCAGGGAGTTCCCCGGACTCGGTGTACGGGCACAGGCCAGCGAAGATGAAGACCGGGGCTCGGCCGATGCTAGCATTATGGATACCTTGGCCAAGGGCCTGTGTTCCGACATCGACATGGACGAGAACAGCCTGCGGACGACCTGTCACTCGAGCATACCCATCGGCCATCGAAATCGCGGTGACTTCAGAAGGGCACGTAATCATCCTAGGCCAAGAGTCGGGTCGCTCTCTTTTGCCTTTGACAATGGCTTCAATGATGGATGGATGATCTGATCCGACATTGACGAAGCATGCTGTTATGCCAGCCTTATAACCATGGTAAGCGTTAATGCTACTAATGAGTAAACGGAGACACGTACTTCCCAAAGCCCCTCAAACAGAGCGAATGCGGTTGTATATCTAATTGAAGGTTAACTTAAAAAAAAAAAAAAAAAAAAACTATCATATGGCAATTGATCAAGGACATACGATTCAGAAGTACTCTGCGGTTTAGCCATGTTGACCGACTTAGACGTTTGAAATCCACGTCGGTGTGTTGAATAATTGGTAGCAGATGCAAGCGGGATTCCTGCGCGAGACCAACAGGTAAAGGGCAAGACAGGCCCCAATGTACGAGAGCAATATGGCCTTCGGACGGTATTTATCGCCAACCTGCGGGCGAGAAAACTTCGAAAACCCATCCTAGCAAATATGGGCTGTGGTAGGTGACCTTTGTAGAATAGGAGGAGGGGATGTTTTTGACCATGCAGGGTAGGTAACATCGGATATGACTTAGTTACACGGGTGCTAGGACAATTAAAAAGTATCATTCGTTAGATGACTAACCTACGATTGTTCTCCCTTTGCAGAGCTATTAATAGTAAATGTACCTATTCAACATTCCATCTCCATCTTTATTTCAACCTTTTATGTTTATAGGTAATGCAATTATTGATATGTTTAGGTAGCTAACATGTGTTAAAGTTAATACCACAACCGCATTCTCATTAGAGTGTTTTGTGTTATAAGTAGTACCCCTTATGCTGACCACCAAGACACCTACATATACCAAACAAAATTTCAAAGTGTAGAATACCAGGCTACATACGCTCGCGGGTGTCCGGTTACGGAGCCATATTTCCATAAATACAATATATGTATGTAGAGAGTCCGATATTTCAAGGCTTCAAGCGGCTTAGGACACAGCTCATATTGCTTGTGACCATTGCCGTAGACATTCTCATCGTATCATCCGTAAGTACAAATGTGATAAGTGATGAGTGTACCTAAGTTAAGCCACAATATAATAGCTCTTAGCGGATTTCAGTAGCACCGTGCTTGAGGTGAATCCCGCCAGTCATTATAACACCAGAGGTTTTAATATCAACTGAAGAGTTCGGAAGCTTTATTACAGTTAACTCTAGCAATGCACTTGGACCAAAAATATCGCTCGATAGGATGTCAAAACTCTCACTTCTGGCAAGTATTATCGATTCTTAATGAGAGATATTATGGTATCGGAAAATATATCGCGAGAACGGATCTACAAGTACGGACCTGAACTCGATATAGCACATCGTAAAACCACAGATATTCGTCAACTATCAAACAACCCCACCATTTCCATCCGGTCCAAACGAAGACCTCCTCTTCACTTCCTAAAACCCATATGCTAACTTAGCACTAAGCCCTATGTGCAGATTACGCCAACTCCGACCCCGAGAACCCCTATTATCAAAGGCATAAGTAACAGATATGTAGTAGGGTGGAGAAACTCTTACAACTAGTAGAACGCTATTGACGCTCAACTGTAACTTCATTTCTTATTATTACAACACCTTCTTCCGGCTTCTCTCTGTGAGGTAGATGCCCCATCGGCGTTACATTCACATCATTTCCATGGTCTTGCAGCTCAATGTATGGCCCATCTCCATTCGTGCTAAACATCGTGCCCATGAGACTTTTGGTAAAGTATGGATCCGATGGTGGATGGGATGATCCTTTCGATTCGTTCCAGCCCCTGACTTGAGATGCAGTCGGGCGATTCGGAGTGTTGGCCATGCGGTTTCGTTTCCGGAAAAGGAACGCGAGCTCGGGAAAACAGACGCACAGGTTGCCGGAGGCGAGTTCTGCTGCTCCCCATAGGAGAATCTCGGGTTGCCTCCAAGATGTATCGGGGTTGCCGCTGTTCTTGAGACGCACGACGAAGCCGATCGTTGCGAAAATAGGAGCGCTGCACGAGATTAATATGCGATCATCGCCGTTTCGAACACCTTCTCTGCCTCGAGTATCTGCATTCGTTGCTCACGAAAAAAAATAAAGACGTACCATAGACCAAAGGTAAATGCCAAGACGACAAGAGTTTGCTTTAGTTTATCCATCTGGAGCTGCCGAACGGCGTGGACGGGAAGCAATAGAATCAAGAAATCAGTCACCGTGTTAAAGCCGCCGCTGACGTTTAATATCAGGTTCGTCTGCACGCATTTCCCAGGGAGCGTCTTATCCCAGATCTTCTCTCGGGGCGTACATTCGAAAATCTTGACGAATGTGGTAATGCCGTAGAAGCCGGTAATAAGAACGATAAGCGTGACGATGGCCATGTCAAAGATACTCCATCGGATAGGCGAGAAGACGCGACGATACAACCAGAGAACCGCAAGCTTGGTGACTCCGATCATGACTCCGTATTCGATAGACGCGACGTTAAACCAGTACGAGGCTTCGTGAAGCTGAGCCGGCGTGATATCCCAACCATGCTGACCACCATGATGGGACATGGTAGCCCTCATAATGCCGCAGTAGGCAATGGTGCCTGCCCACGCGGCCGTCACTATAAAATCTTCGAAGATCCACACGCGCTTAATAGCAATACGGGCGTAACATCGTAGAATAAAGAAGATGGTGACAAATGGAATACATATCCCTATCGTGATATCGGCGAGTCTAGCTAGGGAGGCCGGATGATCGGGATTGGACTGCACGCCGGCTGGCGGCTCCAGAGCCGGCGTAAAAGTGGGTGTAGGAACCGTCGAGGTCTCTGACATTCTGGGGGCCATGACACGAAGTCAAGCGGAGTGAGAGAGGGAACGGGCCTAGTGAGATTCCAACTGCATATATAAGCCAGCAGAATCATATTCTTAATCAATTCCCCCACGGTAGGGAATAATGCTTATGTCCTATTCTATCGTTTTCATAACGAGTTGCTTTTGTTCAGCCCCCCTTCCCCACGTCGTATTGCATAAAAGCTGACACCATCCATACATAAACGCCTCCTTTCCAGCTTTCCATGCAAGTGTTCCATGGAAGCATGGGTCTCCGCATCCGTTCTCATATGCAGTGCACCAACGCGGAGATGATACCTATATGATATTCCTGCTGTAACTCCTCCCACACAGCTAATTAATACCTAGCCCATTAGCAAGCCACCTAATAGTCATACCTACAAGGGCGATCGGGCAACAGTTATACAAGATGAACAACGTGCTGATCCAGTAGTCCGGTTTACGTGCCACCACCTGAGTTGCAATTATCGTTCTAGATGTTTGCTCGTGGCATACTGAAATGCACCTAATGCAACGGTTCGTAAGTTAGAACCTTACACGGCAGATGTAATGTAATATACAAGACGCCGGGACGGAATCCCAGGTGCATTGAGACAATTCTTCTTAAACGAGTCCGTAGTATCTGATGAAGGGCTTCCTCTTTCGGCTCGCTTTATCACCCCTGGTCTCCTTCAATCCTTCTGCCACGTTGTTTATGATACCCTCCCTCCGGTGGCAACCGGGCACTTTTGTAGACAATCTATTATCGAAGCCGTTGGGGTTACCTTTTCCAATTTTCTTTTTCCTTCTTCTCAAACCCCCCTCCTATACTACCAGCTGAGCAATAATGGGCACTCTAGGTACGGATACGCCACCTCAGTATATTAACTGTCACCGACGACAGATGCTAACATGCTTAGACCGTGACGCAACCGAGTCTGCCTCGACGCTACCTGACGACCCCGACGCCCTGTCAGAGGCCGAAGCGTCAAAGTTGATGCGCAAGATCGACCTCCACGTGCTCCCCATGCTCTTCCTGATCTATGTTGCAGCCTTTCTTGATAGGTGAGTTGCCCGTGCGCGTGAAAATTCCCCGATTGACCCAGCGCCTTGTTCAGGGCGAACATATCAAATGCTCTCACTATGAGATTACCAGAGGAGTTGGGATTGACTGGTCAGCAACCTAACGTTGCGCTGGCCGTATTCTTCGTTCCTTATATTGTTTTTGAAATACCTTCAAACATTTTAATGAAACGGTTTAGCCCTCATGTATGGCTGTCTTTTTGCATCTTCTGTTTCGGCATTGTCATGCTGGGTCAGGGCTTCATCCGGAACTACAGCGGTCTACTCGCAACGCGCTTCTTACTTGGGTTCTTTGAAGCTGGCATCTTCCCGGGGAGTTTCTATTTAATCAGTTTCTGGTATAAGCGGCAAGAGTCGCAGAAACGGTTCACCGTTTATTTTTGCTCTGTTATTCTAGCTTCTGCGTTCGGTGGTCTCCTGGCCTCTGCAATCGCAGAAATGGACGGGATACGAGGCATAAGTAACTGGAGGTGGATTTTTATATTAGAAGGCATCCTAACTATTCTAGTCGCTTTCGCAGGGTATTTCTTCGTCAGTGATTTCCCTGGCGAGACGAAGTGGTTATCTGAAAGAGAGAAACAATTCGTTCTAAGAAAAACTCGAGCAGAGGAGACTACTTCGGAACAGAAGATCACTAGGAAAGATATTACAGAGTTCTTCAAGGATCCTAAGAATTACCTCGGTGCAATAATGTACTTCTGTATGTCTTTATTCCACCTTGCATCTCCCCGATAATCCCGTGCTAAGTCCTACCAGGTGTTGTCGTCCCGGTTTATGCATTCGCCTATTTCACACCAACAATCGTCAAGACGCTCGGGTACTCCGTAGTCCAGACACAACTGCATTCAATCCCCCCATTTGCAGCTGCGCTTGGATTGTGTCTCGTATTAACATATCTGTCAGACCGAACAGATAGTCGTCTTCCATACATTATATTCCCAGTCGCTGTTCTTATCGCAGGACTTGCGATTTTGATGACGACACATTCCAACTTCCCAGTACAATATGCAGGACTTTGTTTAGTCTGTATGGGTGCCTTCAGTGCGGGTCCCGTAGTGATTTGCTGGTATCTTATGAATCTCCAGGGACATAAGCAACGAAGCATTGGTTCGGCGTGGATGATCAGCTTTGGTAATACGGGTGGAATACTGGCTCCTTTCGCGTTTTTACCAAAAGACGCGCCATATTACCATCCCGGCTACTCGGCGTGTATGGCGGTCGCGGCAGTGGGGGTTGCCGCAAATCTCTGCTATGCACTCCTTATACTGAGGGAGAGGCGCAAGGTACAACATGATGGCGGAACCGAGAAGACACATGATCTGTCATTGTAGATGTACTTGACCGAATCTGCGGGTGATAACACATCGGCCTAACTGCTGGAACTTGGACTTAGTAGTACCTAGAGGCCCGCAGATACAACCGAAGATACAACGTAAGGGAGTGTAACACCGTTTGTGGCTCCGCCTTGTCAGGTACATTTACTGGATATAAAACCTATCATATCCGCTTGTCATTAGCAAAAAAAAACAAGCAGGTGGCTTAGGTTGCCCCCATATCATCATATCTTCTTCTAGATCATATTTCTTAGAGCATAGATTTAATTCTTTTTATATATTCCCATGGCTATCGAACTAGAATCCGGCCTCGGCCTGAAGAGCTCTGAAGGTGCGCTTATACTTATGCTACGAGCATAATATCCCCGTTTATGTTGCTGAAAAATGTAGCAGTCCATGTTGTATCTACAGAACCTGTCGTAGCTAGTTCGGCTCCTGCCGAGCTGGCTGCAAGTCTATCAACGGTAAGCATCCATCACTCAATCGTCGAATAGTCATTGGTGCTAACGTATGTCGCCATGCAGGCGCGGAAGCTGTTCATCTCTACGACCGTCATCTTGATGAACTTCAATGTTACATTGGGTTCGTCTCTCCCTAGTGGAGCGGGAGATACGCTGAACGCTCATTTTGGCGTTACATCTGAACTCCAAAAGCCATTACCAGTAGCTGTTTTCCTCGTTGGTTATAGTAGGTAAACTTCCAAGTTAAATAGTATACCCAGCTACTTAGATAGCTATTCTAACAGACCTTTTCACCAAGTTTTCGGGCCCATTATATTCGCCCCGCTCTCTGAATCGTGGGGTCGTCGTCCGGTCTTCCTGGTATCCTTCGGCATTTACACTGCATTCACGCTTGGATGTGCCTTAGCACCAAACTGGCCAGTGTTTCTATTCTTCCGTTTCTTGCTAGGTTGCGGCGCGGCTGCACCGCAAACGGTTTCAGGCGGCCTTTTTTGTGATATCTATCCCGATCTGGGACCCCGCGGTCTGGCCATGACGATGCTCGGCCTTACAAGTAACATTGGACCCCTCGTGGGGCCTATCATCTCGGGATTCACCTCAACAAAAGTTTGGCAGTGGCAATTCTGGAGTGCCTTGATTCTTGCTGGTGCTAACTGGCCTATGCTTCTCTTCGTGCCCGAAACGTTTGCTCCCGTAGTTAACGCCCGCGCTGTAAAAAGTGCTACAAAGACAAAATCGCATCAATCAGCTGTCTCTGTCATTACTAAAACGGGATTAGGCATTCGGAATCGGGTGAGAGTTCTGGCACGTCCCATCCGTATTCTTTCGGAACCGCTTGTTTTCTTCACGGATCTCTTCATTCTTTATCAATATGTCATCTACTTCCTCTACTTTGGGGCGTATCCAGTCATTTTCCGCGGTACATATTCTATGTCTAGTGGAGTTTCTGCTTTGATGTTTATCCCCACTGGTGTCGGGGGTATTTTTGCTATTGCTATATTTGTAGCTTGGGATAAGTTTCATAAAAAATCCGTCGAAAGAGGAAGGCCGTGGGCTCTCCAGGAGGAGTACCGACGACTTCCACTGGCCTGTCTCGGTGGCCCCCTGTTCGCTCTATCCGAGTTCTGGCTGGGGTGGACTGCTCGGCCTACCGTTCATTGGGCCGTTCCCGCATTATCAGGGATATCCCTAGGCATCGGCATCGATCTCACGTTTCTAGCGCTAAACAACTACCTCACGGATGCATACGGCATTTATAGCGCATCGGCGTTAGCGTCAAGCGTCTTTACGCGAAACATTTTCGCTGCGATTATCATTCCTCTTACCACATATCCGTTATATGAGAATCTAGGTACGGATTGGGCCTGTACATTGCTGGGATGTTTATGCGTTGCTTTGACGCCGATCCCGTTCGCATTTATTCGTTGGGGTCCGGCCATGAGAAGGCGCAGTTCTTTCTGCCAGAAGTTAGCACGTATGAAAGACGAGGATGAGGGTGGTAACATGGTGGTTCCCCTTTGACCGAGTTAATTCCGACAACACGTTGCACACATACTATGTAGGTACCTAGGTACCTAGATATGTATGTATGTACCTACTTACTTCTAGCTTTGTCGCAACCTGAATGACTGGGATTAGAAATTTGCGTAGTAACTGAAAAAAAGAAAACGCATAGAAATTCGAAGGACTAGTTCTCCCTTACTTTAAACCCCACCAGTCACACAAGTAGCATACCACGCCCAGCTAGAGGATGGTCGCACAAAAGTAACGTCGGGATTGATTCAGTGTCAAGATGGCACCCCTTAAGCTTATTCCGAAGTAATACTACTCAGCTGATATCAACCCGTACTCCATCACAATTCCACCCGCTGATCTTCTACTCACTCAAGTCGGGAAATTAACAACTCTGTAAAGATGTGTTGTGTAGCAATCGCTACTCACCATTCACTAAGCGAAAAGCTTCTACTCTGTACGGCTTACATATTAATACCAATCATACGAACCAGGACCAACTTGTACACAAGACGATATGTATTATACCTAGGTATATAATCTGTACTACGGGACCCATTATATAATGTTGCATTAGCTCCCGCTGTGGGGTACACTGGTACGACATAAGGCTATAAGTGTGGGTCATTTCAATAATGCCAATTAATACTCTTTGCCACATTCATGTTCATATCTTCATATCTTAGCTATCTAATGTATGAACAAAGGTACTCGAGTTTACAACCACCTCAAATATGAATATAACGAGCGATTATCGTTACCCTAGAGCATTGGGCAATATTCCCCATTATCTAGACCAGACTTAAAATAGTGATCCCTTTACTGAGCGTATGAAGATTCAAGGCTATCCCCGACCTGGAGCGCAGGGTCCGACTCAAAGTTAGCCCTCTTCTCGGCGTACGAGGACTCCTCAGGATTTCCAATATGCAGCAGTGGGTCAGCCTCGAAGTTAGCCCTCTTCTCGGCGTACGAGGACTCCTCAGGATTTCCAACTTGTAGTAATGCGTCGGCCTCAAACGTTTCCCGCTTAGTCGCATATGATGAGTCGTCTGGGGTTCCGATGGTGAGTGAGGGGTCAGCCTCAAAGTCTAATAAAGTCAGCATCTGCTACTGGTAATCATTTATAATCCGAGGGACATACTCTCAGGCTTTGGTGCCGGAGCAGCAAGCGCCATCGCGGCAATAAGAGGGAGCAGAATAGAGCACTTCATGGTGAAGATTAAGTGTCTGACCTAAATAATTGTTGGGAGTGGCAAGAGTAGATTCACTTGAAATAATTCGTAACGAACAAGTAGTGCGGATTCTGATGATGGTCCATGTAGGAAAATAATCGAAATGGTGTTTCGAATAGCATCCTATTTATACCATTTCTATACCTCATCAGTCTTGTACCGTTCGGTAGTTACCATGCCCCCTTGGTTCATAAGGCTGACCCAAGGAGAAAGTCCCATCCCCGCTTCACACGGGCGAAATCGCGATGGGGACTCATAAACTTGCAGATCCCTCGCTGCTTAGCGGAGAACTACACATTAGGCCGGCTTACATGTGGACATCAAGACCTAACCTAATCGACACCGTTGGGGTTCACTTTGAGTTAATAGTGTGAAATATAAATTTAGGGAGTTGCAGTGCCATGGCCAGCTCAACCTATAAGGTAGGTCGGCCGAAGTTATCGCATCATCTCAAGTGCTACACGCAATGCATATGTTGTGCCCCCACCTACGGTTTCCTTCTGTCTAAGCATATCCCACGTAAGCAGAGGTGGGCTTGTAAGCTTCGGAGAGATATAAATGGGTAAACCATCGACGAAATAGCTACTCGAATATATCATCACGTCATCAATACAGATATTCTATTAACAAACCATCCTCGCCACTATGGGCGGCAAGTATTTATAATAAGCCCTTGGGAAGATGTCGTCTCGTCTCGCGGTATGATATAGACCCTAGCACTCGATTACTACCGGCAGGATTCTCAAGGGAAAGTTACCAAGCCCAAGTTTTGAGCAGATAACATACCACTGCAGATGCAAGCAGATGTAAGCAGATGCGGGGAATTCAACTGACTCCAAATCTTTATACATGATCCATCACAAGATTGTACCTAGATCCACCTTCAGTACCTGCAATGCTAAAATGGCTTAACCGCAGCGAATGATAACAAAGTCCGCCCCTTCTAAGACGAGTATCATGGTGCGATGTTCAAGCTTGGAAGCTCTATCCATAAGTGCTTATGGAAAACTTCACCAATACTTTTACCACTATACAACTACATATTTACTCCATCAGGTGTCTCTTCTAAATCTCATTGCTAGCAACTCGTGTCTCAGTATCACTCAAGACCATGCCCCTAGAATTTGCTTATCGCCCCCTTCCAGGCTCTTCTTTAGACTCTCCTTCAGCAGCACCTGTTGATGATAAAGAAGATGGATATGTCGAATGCAAACATTGCACGACACGTACCCGGACTCGAAGGAACTATTGGATTGCTCATACTGTGAGCCTGATTGCTATCATCAGTCTATCGATCATTTTGATACGCTCCTATGATGGTGCTCTCATAGCTGCAAGATGTTGGGACATGCATAATTACTACTGTAAGTACCCAGAGTCTCCTCCTATCTTACCTCTGTCACATGTCAACGGTTAAACTTACAACTTCTCATCAGCCCCTGTCAACAAAGCCCTGGCTACTCAGCCCTACATCACTATCCGGTTCAACGGGTCACTCTGGTATGAGTCCCCCTTCAAAGGTCCGCCTACCCCAGCGGTTGAAGATGCCTGGCACTCGATTATGCAATATGGGATGATTTCTGTCTCCGCTTCAGACTACGAGAAAGTCAATCACTCAACCCGCACCGCAGTCCAGTTTCCTGAAGAAGCTGGAGGTGGATACATGGTAACGACAGTTGGAACGCATCAACTCCATTGCCTACATTTCCTCTGGCAAGACCACCATCGTACTTACTTCCCGGACGTTTTACGCAAGGTTCAAGATGTCCCAGAGCTATACGAGCGGCATTTTGAGCATTGTGTGGACTATATCAGGCAGAGTATCATGTGTAACTTCGACACAGGTTTGGTGACTTATGATTGGGTCTTGGAGCATCAAAATCCGACTCCCAATTCCAATGCTATGCACAAGTGTGTGAATTGGGATGTGGCGCAAGAGTGGTTACGAGACCGAGCAGTTAAAATCCCGGACGGGTTCAAATGGAAGCAGCCTGAGGGACAGGAAAGCCTGCCGTGGAATCCTTGATACCTAGAACTTAAAAGATGGAGGGCAGAGATTTGAAAAATGATAGGTTCTCGGCTACGGCCGAAGACATGCAGTAAGAATGTTGACCAACCTCGCTAGGAGGTGGACGAGGTCACAACATATGTAAAGGACTAAGGCTAGAACGAGTATCATGACGAATCATCTTCATAATTCATAGCCCCCAGATTCAATAAATAATATGATCCGCAGTGCTCCCCTACTTGGCAGTCTTGGACAATTACACAACAGATCTAACCTAATACGTGAACCTTTCCTCGAGTCAATCAGCCGCAACGGTCCGAATAGAAAAAAAAAGCATTCCATATTTTTTTTTTAGTTTCATTCGTAGGGGATTAAAGAGTAGAAACGAAATACCACGAATTACTCTGTCAAAAATAGAGCCCGCAAAGGCGAGCAACAGAACTTATATCAAATGTACTGCAACGTCGGGCTGGTAAAACAACTCGATTTGCGACCGCATATCCAACTCTTACTTGCATAGAGCATGGAGCGGGATGCAAACGGGAGTCCAATACCCGAGTCTAAAGGCGGGAGTGGCTTGACAAGGATTTAAAAGAAGATGATCGTGCACATGCATGTAAGATCAAGGCTTCATTGGCCCATTGGCTCGACATATCACGCCCAACCGTATTGTGACGGCTCTCGGTACCAACTTCTTTGGCCTGTGCAAATGTTCCCTGCTCGCAACAGTACGAAGCTCACATTACCGCATTACCGCATTGCCACCCGTTTGTCCTAGATAACCAGAAATATGATTCAGTTCCGTTACATCGCAGACAATAATGGTACCCAAATATTCAGCAGCGCATGATGCTCCAACGATACTTAACTCATACATCCCGCAAGAATCATATCCTCGCCTACTATTACGGCATACGGAAGGACGTGGAGTAAGCTTAATTGCGACGCTGGCGTACCAGATCCAACGGGAGGAACCGTAAACAAGCAGAGAACAAGCAGAGCCCGCGCAGTTCTACATAGGTATACATCAGCCTCCTAGCCCACGCGGACGACCCACTAGCAAGGATTCGATTACTTCGGATTGGGGCGCCGGAGGATTTATATGTTACATCTTAGGGGAGCATTCGTGAATCCTTCGAATACCGGCCCGTTAATTAATTTTATGAAGAGATGAAGAAGTCCGCTGCGTCCACTGCTACCCTATAAAACCAAAACCAATGCACCTGCAAACCGCCTACAATGTACATAGCCGCCCGTGATGATAGACATGTTTGGGGAATCTATTGGAAAGCGTGGCAGGTTCCCGTATGCGATACGATAGATGTGGCGTTCCATACCCACACGAAGGTAACGAAAACAGCATACCGACCATCTTGTGAGCTCAGGAGATATCGTTGTGGTTTCGGTGACTTTCTGGCGGATTTCAACCCCTCATCGTGTTAATACATACGGCCAAGTTATCCGGGAGATCTAGATTCTACCAGAGAAGAGGAACCTAAAAATATCCTACAGGACAGACTATCGGTAGATACATACGAATACGATTTAGTGTTAGGTAGGCTACGTATGCGGCGGGCTTTTGCCGAACACGATGTCCAAGTACATAATTCAGACAATCGACCGAAATATCTGTTTGGACCGAGACTTCGATGTAACTAATCCCGTATAGTGGCGACAGTTATCTGTGTACGAAACTTCATACGGGCAAGTTTTTATCTATAGCGCTCGTTGACTCTGTCTGCTATTTACTAATAGGCCTCGTCTAGTCTAGATCTAAGTAGGGGTGAAAGAAGGGTGCGCCATCGTGGGCACATGTAAAATCGTTGATGTACGTACGTACCATGGTGCACGCATGCATGCATGCATAATCTTTTCCAAGGGGCGGGCTTCTTAAAACCCCGATACAAGCACGTGGAATTAGAAGAGGACAAGAAAAAGAGAAAAAAAAAGCAAAAAGCTCAGTCCCAGGTTCGAATCCCCTCGGATAGGGGCAGGGGATTCGAACCTGAGACCTACGAAAAACCGGCTTCGTTTGGCGTCTGCTGTCAAGTCACGTTCTTTGGGAAGAACGGTTCAGCATAAGACACCACAGTGGGGTTTTCTCTAACCTCAAGTCGCCCAAGCGAGGGGCGTCGGTTGAAAGTTGGTTTGCAACTGGGATATATAACCTTTGCTTTGAGGTAAGTACTTGGGCAGGTATATCTCGTTGCCTAGGTGTTCTGCCACCTGCGAGATCAGGTGCTAGGCAATGAGGGGGAGCCTCACGACACTAGCTTGTCCGGCGGAGTGTAGAAACTGCTGCGGATCGGAAATAGCATTTAATCTTTTGCTGTGACTACACCAGGCTCCAGGTACCTAGCTAACGGCGATATTCGCGAGGCCATATGCAGAGTGTCTCCATCCTTAATAAAAGTAGGCAGTACTATATAAACTCTAGAATAATAATAAGATGGGATCTCGCGATATCACTGCTGCTTTTATAATACATGCCTTGATATTATCCCTTCATGTTTGAATAGAAATAAGTAGTGAAATTCATTTAAGTTGCTGATATATCTTAAGCCTTGTTATTTATATAGTATCAGTGAATTATAGTTATACTACTATCACGTAAGGCAATGCCACATATATGAGTTGCAGAAAGTTCATCTTGCTAGAAGATGTTCAAAGCCAAGCATATAGTTCCTGGATAGATCAAATATCGATAGATACAAGGGACAATCGGCGGTATAGGGCATATTTCACTGGGAGCATCATCATTGGTAAGTGGTCAATACCAAGAGCCACCCTTTCGTTTTCCTTGAAAATCAAACGTATAATTATTACTAATATAATATTTAAAGTAGATCAACTCTCAATATACCCCTATCTTGTCGGCATACCAACAAGCTTTCGCTACCTAGACAGATGCCAAAACCTTAGTGACAGAGACTGCCATAATAACCCCCATTCCGTCCCTCATTAGATGGGTGTAATCATCTTCGTCTCTTGATTATCCAACGTACAGGCTTCACGTACAACATCCTACTGTAGATACCGATTTGCGGGACTTTTACGAAAATATCCAGCTCTGCCAGCAAACCAGACATTCCCTTTATGTGCACACAGAGCACGGGAACTTTCGCATACCTTCTCGCTAAACCCTCAATGTTAAAGTCGAATTCAAGATAGTCTCCCATAAGAATCTTGTCCTGTCTACTTCTCTTAATGTCCTCCTATCTCTCGACCCATTGGTTATGTTCTCCGAACCGGAATACGTTCCAGCCGAGGTAGCAATCGGTGCCTTTGGAATGACGATGCAATCTCCACCCCCCTGTAGTGCTGAGATGTTGTCTCTTTATGGATAGTGTTGTGAAGAGGCTGGGGGCTTGGGTTCGAATAATCTTTTGAATAGGAGGTCTCTTAGAAGATGACCTTGCCAGAGGCCAGGTCAGTATTTGTTGCTATTTATCCGTTGAAGTCTTTCTATCACCGCCTAGATAGCCGGTAATCGATTTTTCCGGTCTTGTCGGGGATCTTTGGCAATATCTTGTGATAATGTCGTACCATTCGTTGTAAAGTTGACTCTAGCGGTTGGAATCACAAGGGAAAACGTCATCTACGTCGGGTTTTAATAAATCCTCCTGGCTCTTCCCAATGATAGGAACGGTCTCCTGTGATGACATCTTTTGAGCCTTCAGCTGTTGAGATAGGTTGGTCGAAGATTATTGTGCGTAATAAAAGAATTCCGTAGCACAAGACTCTCGACATCCCCAACGATCGCCCCAGGAAGGAAGTAAGTACACTGCTCTCTAAGAGAGAACAAACTCTCTTATAAGATCTATCTTGTAGTCAGAAGTGGTAGAGGTTCTACGATCCTTATAGAGCCAAACTCGGATTATGGATCGAGTGTCCGACATCATTTCGCGGGTTTCATCCAAAATGTATGAGGGTTGTTAAAGGATATCGGGAGGGTCTAGTGCATCCGAGAATATTGCATAACGTGGAAATAATTGCATTCTAACATCAAACTTCCATGACTGTTTCGTAACTTCTCAGAGTCTTATAGAAGATTAATATACATACTCAGCAAATGTTACTTGTGTCTAGACTCGCATCAGCCAATTCTATTCCGTGGTCGCTTGACTCTTGCTCCGATGGAGACATGTTCGTTAAAGTGAGTTGAGAGAGATTAGGCCTTGTGTTCGTGATTTGCTTCCTGCATTAGATGTGTCTCTTAAAATAGATATAACAGCCCTATCAGTGGAACAACAAGTTTAGCGCCAAGATGGTCTTCTGCTATATATACCTATATATAACCTAGAAAGCTTTCATGTATGTGCCTCTTAACTACGCCTGGGGGGGATCTTAACTCATACTCGTAGACAATAGCACTGAAATAGATCTATATCTCCATGTCTGCTACTTACTTTGGTCTAATTAAGCAGAGATAAGACATTTGAGAGCTAACATGAGAATAAAATATCCCAATGTGGGATAACCATAGACAAGACTAAAATAATTTTAATAGGACCCTGTATGAAATATAACACAAAAAATAAATTACATAGGCCTAAGAGGTAGTTTACAGACAGTCACGACGTTTGATATGTCTTGATAAATCCGTAGAGGGTAAAGTGTATACCCTATACCTTATCATTGGTAGCACACGCGATAAGGGGGGCTAACCTTACTGGACGACACGGGCTTGCCCCTATCGCCTCGGCGGGGAAGATTGCATCACCTATATGTACATAGTATATATCTAGCTTGTCCTTGCATTATTGAGAACATCTCCTTACCTAACTGACCTACACATTCAACCTGATAGGTCCCCGGATTGTTTTATAGCTATTATCTCCTAACTCGCACACCTTATCTTCTCTGCCGCCGCTAGTGACGCAGCCGAGAACGGTCATGAGCAACGAGCATACTTAAGTCGTCGGCCTCAAACCCGAGATATCTCCTGTCTCAAGCTTTCTCGTCCGATTTTCTCAACTAGGTTGCTACAATTCTGGTTTAGCCTAGTTGGCTCAAAATTAGCTTCATCGTCGTAGAATAAAACACAGCCGAGAACGGTATAAATGGACAAACACCCTGTCATATATATTAGGTATATATAACTAGATGTTCGGCTTATTCTTCTGAACCCAATGCTTCCGATATAGAATTGCGAAGTGAATTTGACGTCGGCTTCGATTCAAACTCCTTGTATATAATAGCAACATTGAAGATACAGTAGTCTGTACGATGCTTGGCCAGGAGGATGATCAGGTATATGAGCAAACCAGCCAGGGCTACAAGAGCTTATGGGGGTTGAGCAGCGGTTGCGCTTCTACGGCCAATGCCTACTGGGGTAAGCTCTCTTCCCAGGACCACGTCAAAGAATCTATCTATGCTGGCACACTCGCGCTTGTGTTATTATCTACGATCTTGGTGTATATAATTCGGAGACAGAGATCCAAGCAAAGCACGCGCCCGTCTACGCCAACTACACCAGGACTTGAGAAGGCGGCATCGAAGAGAAGCAATGCTCAAAGCCGCGAATTGGGTAAATGGATCCCATCGGACTTCCGCATGCCGAAGCCAGACCCATATCCAGATTGGTCAGTCGAGAACACGAAACCGCTCCCGTACAGGCCGTTTCGGTACGGCCCCAAATACAACGTAACTATGGGACTCCGATCGCTTAAACATGTTGATTGGATTGAGCTTGATAATCACTTCCCACGGTACCACGCGGATAAGGCACGGCGTATCAAGGAGCGTGGCCACAAGTGCTGCAGGACAGCGCCTGAGGCGTATCCTGCCGCGATAGAACTTCTTGAAGATCTAGTTGACTACCTGCCAGCGCGATACCCGTCGCTGTACAAGCGGACGGATGTCGGGATTGATAACCTCTGGTCTGGCGAAAGCTTTGATATCACAGCGCGGCCATTAGCAGAGGACCCGATGCAAATATCAGCTCGGCTTGTACAAGACGACCTAGCAATCATGATCGAGAAGCCCGATGGCCAGTACTATCTTCTAGCAGGGGCAGTCTTACTGGCAGGATTCTGGCGACTGGAAGATAAGTACGGTATGGCGCTGCCGGAGATCCACACGTCCGGGGACGTACCGCAGTACCGAGAGAAGCTTGAGAAGGGCATGTTAAACTTCTTCCGACGACTGCGACCGGAGGAGATGGTGGCGCGTAACAACTACTTCTTGCAAGTGGACGACGATCTGGGATGGTCTTGGAGCATCGGATCAGAAGACGCGCCGGAGGTGAGTTGGAACACGGCGGAGAAGAACCGCGCTATTGAGCACCATTACTTCCGTTCTGAGAGGCAGTCGCTGCGACGGCTGCCGCGGTCAGGGGGCGTGGTATTCACAATCCGAACATACTTCCACCCGATCACGGAAATCGCCGAGGAGGATTACGTACCAGGGCGGTTGGCAAGCGCGATAAGGAGCTGGGGGGATGATGTGAGCCGGTATAAGGGGAAGGAAAGGTATGGAGAAGTACTACTAGAGTACCTAGACAAGAAGCATGAGGAGCAGGTGGCGAGGGGCTTGGACCTCAGTCGCGAAGATGAAGTTCGAGCGTATCCATACTAAGGATTGAGTACCGTACGGGGGCCTTGATCTTATTCAGTCTAAACCAAGTATTTAGCAATAAGAGCGAATTTGGATGTATTGCAATCAAAATAAATAAAACAATCTTACTTACTGATTAGGAGTAGTCATAAGTCATATTGATACTTCCAAGTCGGGTTTGAATCTGCGAGGTTGTGTTTTAGAGTCTTAACCTCGGTAGGTCTTAGTATATACAGATGATTAATTTGTTTAGAAGAATAACTACGAGGGTCTATGCAATAAACAGTGTCATATAGAAATAACAGCATATCGGAAGAAGGCAGTCCCCTGCCGCCATTACACAAGCTGCAGCTGCAGATTGTCCTTTGCGCAGGTGCATGTGGCTTCTAAATTCTAAATCCGCCGTCATCCCGCCACTGTAGCTTCAACCGAGCTTCAACCACAAACTACAAACTACAAACTACAAACTACAAACACCTACATACAACCACTACGAGCATCACATCGAGCTCGAACTCGACATTAGCCATGTTCAATTGACTTGATACTTCGTATATGCCTAAAGCCTACCTAAAATAGACAAATAACCACAACCCGCCCCGAATGGAGTCAGCGCTGCCTCAGCAGGGCGTGTTGAGCTGGCGCCTCAGCTCGCATCCCATCACACTGCTAACCTTTCTCGCATTCCGCATCTGTAAGTCGACGACCTTTTATACGCTTCACCTTGGATATATATGCATATACAGCGCAACGCAGCAAGATAAGCTAACACAAGACTTCCACTTCCCACTCAGCCTCGCTTCTCGTATACCTCTTCGGCGTCATCTTCACCGATAACATGGTGCTCATCTTCATCATCACGATCCTGCTACTAGCTGCCGACTTCTACTACCTGAAAAACATCGCCGGCCGGCGACTGGTCGGGCTGCGCTGGTGGAACGAAGTCGACCCCTCCTCGGGTGACAGTCGCTGGGTCTTCGAGAGCAGCGATCCGGCGGTTCGCACTATCAACGCCACCGACAGTCGCTTCTTCTGGCTCGCCATCTACGCGCAACCCGTGCTCTGGGTCGCTCTGGCCATCCTGGCCTTTGTGCGCCTCAAGTTCATGTGGTTGCCCCTTGTTGGTATGTCTCTTGTGGCGGAATGATGGTGAAGAGGGAAAGCGAAGTCGATAAAAATGCTAACGGCCAGATGAATAGCCATCGCGATCTCCCTGACCATCACCAACTCCCTCGCCTTCTCGCGCTGCGACAAGTTCAGCCAGGCTTCTAATATCGCCGGCAGCGCTCTCTACTCGGGCAATATCGCCGGCAACCTCGCGAGCAATATGGTCGGCCGCTTCTTCACCTTTGGCCGTTCGTGATCCGCCACTACACGCATAACCCAGGGAGTCGAAGGTACGGAAGGCGAAAGAAAGGAAAAGGCCTACTTAAATATCTTTGATACCGGTTTGAAGGGAGACAGGTATTCTACTACTTATCATGGTGTATTTCTGTCTATTTTTTTTAGCAAGCTTCAGGACAAGAGCCTGATGTAATACTATGATATTTATGACCTAATGAAAGCCGCGAATCTAGCGGCGTCTGCAAAGAGATTCACAAATACTTTTTGTCTGTTAGTGTATGAGATCGCTATGGGCTATACAAGAACTTAACTCTAGCCTTCCACAGTTGCAATCGAGAGTAAAGATGCTATACTGTCAGACCCTTTCTCGTTCTGTTATACAATAACTACAAGTTTAATTAACTAACACTATAATCTCATTCAGGGTTCCTATCATATCAACCATATTAACATCTATATCGTCGCGTCTACTTATCGTGCCGCACAGGTGCAACTACGGCTTAAAAGGAGGCTAATCGCGTGGCAATATATACGACCTCTAACATCCAAAGCCGTTTATATCCCCAATTACTGTCCCATACAAAATTGATTAATCCAATAGATTCGCATATGTATATATGTATGTATATATACCTATACAAGCCAGTTAGACTTAAAGCTCTCGCACCAGCTCACCACCTATCTTAACCCTCGCGGAACGGACATATTACATCGTTCCTCAGTCCAGCCCATACAAAAAGCCCTTCCCTTCTACTTGCTACACGGGGTATATAGGAGTAACGAAAGTATAAAGTCATATATACGCATAAGGGGGTAATTTTCCTTGCTCTTGCTCTTGCTCTTGCTCTTGCTCTTACTCCTACGTATTCTCACATCCACCACATACACATAAAATTAGCATGATATAAGACCCATTAGAACTCCAATACCGCTTGAAAAAAACATCAGGCATTGCTGAGAACATCACTACGCTATTGGTGCTTGCCATTGTCACGGTTGGTGCGCCGCACGGCTATTTCGTCCCGCGTCTTCGATTGCCGCGTCTAGGTGTCGCTCCTCTTCCTCCAGCCTTCGGATCTCTTCCTCCGTCATACCTTCTTCGATCAGATGCGCGTAGCGGGTCTGGAACGGAGGTGTTGTTGTACTGGGACGACCGGCGGATGCTAGGTCTGACTGGCTATTCGTAGCAAACGCCGCTCCCGGAGGCAATGGCGGTGAAGACGCACGGTCCGAGTAGGGCGCATAAGACGCGTCGTCAGGGCGCACTATACTGTCGCGTTGGTCGTGTAAGCGTCCGCTATGATCGGCTGGGAATGCTGAGCGTGGTGACGATTCCGACACGTTGATTGCCCCTTTATCCGCGATCATGGCGTGCGAACCTGAGGCCTCTGTGCAATCCGTGCCACCAACGCGCTCGCTGCTGTTGCGGCGCCGTAGACAAAAGAACCATACCAAGGCCACAACAATAATGATAACCGCAACAGCACAGCCCACCGCGATACCTATAATAGCGCCCGTACTTAGCCCTCGATGACCGGGAGACACCTCCGAAGCCTGTTGGATAGAAGTTTCAGCAGCGGGCGTCGCCGTAACAGTCGATGCCCCGGAACTTTCTGGGTTGCTGGAAGACCCTTCGATATCCTCCTGAAATGCCGGACTTGACTCCTTTCCGGTATTTTTAATAAGACGGCTAGCCTCGCTGTATCCTTCGCTGTAAGTAACGGCAAGGACAGGACTATAACTGCTACCACTAGATGTGGTATTCTCCCATTGAATCTCGTAGTATAAAGGCTGCATAAGGTTATCGCCGTAGGTAATCGTAAGATCGCCCGTAAGCATAAGAGTCAAGCTTTCATTGGTTGCTGTTTTATTTTATTAGTATCGCGCAGTTAAGCAACAGACAAGTCTGGTAGCATACCCGGGAAAAAGCTTGGTGGAAACTGGTCTTGTCTTTCTGCTACTAGCTGTCCATCCAAGAAAGAGCCCGCCGTAATACCTGTCTGGCTCGTGCCGCTCATCTTTCCCATCGCAACGGTAATCTTATCCTTAAACCGCTTTAGGTAGATAGCACTAATATTCAACTCGCTGATACCTTGCCCCTTACTAAAATAGATGATCTGGTCCGTTGCTTGCGGCTTATATATGGCGGGCGTCGGAAGATTCTGCACCTGAATTACTGAGTTCGGAGAAGAACCCATCGTCGCCGTTCCCGTCCCGCCGGTCGGGGCCGGCATGGCTCCATCGGTGGTACGGGAGGCATGGTCTTCCGCTCCCACCAACCCTATTAGAGAGGCCAGGATCCCGAATCTCGAGGCATCGATCCGCATCGTCGTGTGAGCAAATATCGGGATATTGTTGTCATAAAACTCCCAGAAGCCCAGATACTCAAATCTCAGCACATATCCAATATTAAGGGTATCTCAACCAAGTGTGCTCGCTTTCGTGCGTATGAATGTTCGTTGCACCAATGATACAGCCGGGAACTTGGTTGAAAGCACACCAAATCGAAAAAGCAATAGGAAAGATGAGAAAATCGACCGGGCGTGAGAGGAAGGAAGGGAAAGTAAGAAGAGCAGGGGGGCCTGTCAGCTCTCAGCTGTGCCCGCTAGGAAATGGATGAAGATATGCGGGACCGGGTCTATTGTTACAAGTGCACCAACCATGTTCAGCATGCAGTAAGCCAATGGACACCAGACTGCGCCTCTAAAACCAACTAGTTCATAGGATGATGGCACCATCAGTTACGAGCCTATAGAGATGAACGCCATCCCACTAGATCTCCGTGCTTTTTTACATACGCAGGACGCTTCTACGTGTGTAGGTATTGCAAAACACACGTACATACGGTACATATATGGCCGGCTACCATTGCCTGCCTTATGGGGCCGCACCCCCGGCTTTGCCCAGCCCGCTAGGCTATTTCTTAGGGATGCCCCAAGGAATCATGCCAACGTCCTAAAACCACAGCTCGACCATGCTAAATACGACCGAATTCACGGGCAGGCTGAAGACGCTGTGTCATGCTCGGTGAGCCTAGAGACCCATGGTAGGCCGTTCTTAGCTGATGATGCTATACGATGCCATGACGCGTTTCTATTCTCGGCCAAATTCTGCGATGGTAGATGATAATATCCTCGCAGATAGATATAGATGGCAGACCTCGGGGGCAATGCATAAAGGCCGTCGTATCAAGGTGCCGCGTATGCCAGGCTTGTACGAATACTACTAATGCCGTAGTAGGTAGGCAAGTAATAGTAGGGTGAGCATTGCAAGAAGGGCCATACCACCTCGAAACAGGGACATCTACATTAAACAATCAAAATTTGATGGGCAATACCTAGTGCTCTGCGGTGTAGGAACAGAGCGGCGAGGTAAATGGGACCTTTTTGGAGATCGCGGGATCCGCACCCTGAGCTAACATGATTTTCATGATTGGTTCAGCCCTTGCTGACAGCGTTACCCGTCTGACGACAGGGTCCGTTGAGGTGAAGGGGTCTAGATCCTTTGAGACTGGGGTTAAAACTCGAAGCAAGTGTCTATGTAGGTTAGGTAGCTAATGTGTTGTTAGAAACAGACCTTGACCATAGGTAACTAATAAAGAAGATTAAAACAGACGATAGTATCGTATTCTATAAATTGATATTTCGACTTAGTTGAACGGTTTTCTTTTACCAACCTGGGGTATCTCGTCATCGGCGATAGGTTTTTTTTCTTGGCTCCCGCAGTCCCGTTCAGAAACGAAGTTTGGTCACAGTTTAATAAAGATGAGCTTTGCACAGTCAGACGAAAACCGGGGCTGAGCCAGAAATAACAAAGATCAGACTGCGGCTGATCAGACCCTCGGCTAGGCTTAGCGTCTTTCAGCGCCTCGACGCCTATACATAGCGTATGTACCTAATTGCTGCAGCACCGTTAGTCCCCTTAGGTTAGGTAGTGAAGCAAATGCAGCCTATTACTTAAGCCATCGGTGCAAAAATAGCAATGCCGTCTAATCCGTACGTACCTACAGTCCCGCCGTTACCTATTGGGGTATCAATATTGTCCCTAAAGGCCTGATATCCCACATTCTTTCGATAACTTCCTGACTATTTAGGTTTTTCGCGTCTCACTACATATTTTACTGCATACGCCATCCATATTAAAACCATGTGGCAGCCGGAAACGCCAAGTTTAAGCCGCAAATAACATCATCTTTCTCCAACTCTCCGTTCCCATATACAAACAGGAGATATCTTTATGAAATATCTCATTTGAAATTGTATAACTATCTATGTACTTATACGAACACTATTTTTTAGGCAAGATCTGAAAACTAACACTAACAGCCAATCCTCAGCGTACGCAATGCTGCATTTAAATTGACCTATTACATTGTCAAGTAGTGATGTAAGTCATAGTGATAAGAGTCCGGTACGCCTACAATGTAAGACATGATTATTTCACAATAACTGCCTATCTACCTAAATAACTCAAATAAAAACTAAATGGTAAAGATTAACACCATGAATTAGGTACATAAGTAAGAAATACGTGATAGTTAAAGTATTCACAGCTCAGAGTACCCGAATTTCCAATGCTAGTAAATACCTAATAACCTACCTGTGACAATCGTAAGTAATAAACATTATGATGTTATCCATGAGTGGCTTATTTTCTAGAAAGGTAAAAGAAACGGCACGGCTGAAGACAATCCCAAGCTTCCTTTAGGATCCAAAAACAGACACGGCAGGATCAATAACCAGTTTAACCATCGTGGGTAGGTAGGTCTTATTAATAGCATGAGACATATGGATTGCCAGATCCAGAACTCAATCTATCATGTTGTGTAGCCTATAACAAGCAAAAGCCACCGATTCGGGATGTAGATGTCCTTGTGTTATATTACCTACTACCTAACAGCTTGTTACCAGTTGACTACCTAGGTACCTACCCAGGTAGTCAATGATTAAGGGAAAGCTCGATTGAATTATTGCCAATCTTAAAACTACACTAAATACAATAACTACCGCTTTAGTGTTCGAAATGTTGGTCATCTTAGGGTTCTCGCAAGTAAAGAAACTACCAACGTCAGGGTCGACGGTTATCTGCATAGCCAAGAAATCGCAGCAACACATCACTTCCCGGATCTGATACTGGCTAGATATGCACATAACTTTATGATATATCATTAATCAACATACTACATCCAATATCTTATCTCATCAAGCACGCAACCCTCGTCTCACTCAGTTTAGCATAGTTTGATTCAGTTCCATCCCAGAGCGAAGCACTCTCCCTCCCTCCCACCCATCCCATGGTCTGGACGTCGCCGTTTACAATACCACCTAACTACCTGCAACCCTAGATATGTAGCCCAAACCCTCGAAGGCGACCCGGATCTCTCTACATAAGGTAAAAGAACGACGACACCCGTCAAAATACTAAAGAACGCCGATGGATGTGCCCCAAGTACCTAATGGATGCCACTACAGCCCAAGACAGGCAAGAAAAGACAAGACAAGACAGGCAATTTAAAGCGTCGGGTGCGTACGTATTACAACTTCCCTACAGGCACGTAATGCTATATAGACTATGCGAAAGTCATCGATATTTCCTTCTCCTTACCAAAGTCGTCGTCGTCGTCGTCGGCCCAGGGATCCGCCAAAGCTATATTTGGCGTCGTCTGCGCCGTCTTGATCTCTGGCCGCGATGGGGATAGCGCAACATCGCGGTGTTCTGTGAACGCCGTGTCGAAAGTCATTTCAATTTCTTCTTCTGGCGGCGGCATACCAAAGCCTAGAGCTCGGGAGGGAGGTATCGTTGGTGTGCGTTCCTGAGACATCCTGTACTCGAAGGGAGGGCTGTTGTAAATACCCTCGTAGCTTTTTGTCCCGCGGAGAGTATCTCTTGGGCTGGTCGTTGATGAAGACGGCGAGAAATCGAGCTTCATCGGTGGTAAAGTAGACTTCAACTCTTTAACCTGTATCTCATCGTCCTTTGCGAGTTCCGCCCTGATCGCATCGACATCGAATAAAACGCCATGGTTATTACCTTCCTTGTTGTCCGTTTTAGATGCATTTGAGCCCTTGTTACTATCCTCATAAACTTCCCATTCTTGTCGAGAAGTCCTCTTCTTGCGGCCGAAGATACCCCAGCCACCCTTTTTCGAGGACCCATCCTTTTCCAATTCTTTACGAGCCTCCTCGATCTCGTTGATTAGCTCCCGCTGTCGCTCTCTGTGCCGCTCCGGATCCGGATCCTCAATCTCGCCAAACTCATCGCTTTCAACGAGCCAACCGCATTCTCTTAGGAGCCTAGGCATCGCTGTTCGATACTCCATATGACCGACGACAAACTCCGTACAGTCAAAGTTTTCTACACCGGGCACCTCGTCTACGGAGGCTAGGCCTGCTATTCGGCGGATGCCACCGTTCGTTAGGCGGAAGAGGTAGCCCAGGATCCAGTCGGTTCTATTGTACCCGTTCACAAATCTGCCAGCCACAACGGTACGAGCCTTGATAAATTCTTCCTTCTTCACAACTATGGGCGAGCCAAAAATATACACATTCTGGACTAGCCCATAGGCGCCTTTTCGAGCAAGCTCCAAGAGACAGGCGAAGATGACGCGGGAGCCGAGAGAGTAACCGACCAATGTAATAGGTCGAGTACCCAAATTTCTGTCAATTAGGGAGTCCGCGAGGATAAGTCCACTAGCCCATGCACGGTCTAGAGAAACAGCCCAAGGATTATCGATCAAATATGTCAACTTTGATAGAACCACTGGTAACTGTAAGGCAGCCATTAAACCAATTAAGATAGTGCTTCCAAGCACTTGTTGCAACCCTTGAGTTAGGGCCTGCATATGTTAACCTGTGCTCTCTATTCGTATTAACAGGAATCTCTTACCTCTGTTGCCAGGATATTAATAGTGTCACCCATGCTAGTTAACATTTCGGGCTCCCACAAAATCGAGTAGATGTCGCCCATTATTGGGTCAACAGTACTAAATGGTAGACGGACGTCATCGATCTTACTAGTCATCCACCCGGAGATGGTTACGATGAGATTAACTCGCTTGTTGTTGTGCAGCGGCCGATATTCAAACGTCTTCACAGCCCCTGTCCGTCGGTCTGCGGCCTTGCCACCCATAAAACTTCCAGATGCTGCGGCGCCAGAGGTGATAATGGCGGCTCCTCCTGCCCCTGCCAAAAAAGAGCTCGTACCGCCAACTCCGATAGTCGTGAAACCAGCAGCAAGGCCGGCGCCGATAAGAGGTGCTAGAAGTCCAGCGGAGAGACCGATGACTAGACCACCTCCAACGGTGGCTAAGCCCATCATGACGTATCGCCTCTTGAGGGCGAGTTTCCTCCTATTTTCAAGATGCTCCCCTTCATTCCAATTTTCCTTTTCGGCCTGCTGTTGCATTTCCAAAGCATCGGTGACGCGCTTCTCAAATCTGCAGATATCTATCCAAGGGACGTCCAAGTCTTTGCCGACTCTTTCGAGTAGCACTCGGGACCGAGCATCGTAAATTGAATCGGCAATCAGCACGAGGAAGAGATC